GTTTCCTTCTCTGTCCAATGTAACATGTCCTCCCTTGGACGTTAATAATCTCTTCCCCCAAATGAGTCTTTCAATTGACTCATTTTGTTTTTTACAGTAGAAGTGGTGATTTCAACAGTTTGTACAACCAGTCAGTATCATTTGAGCACTTCCATGTAAAACGCCTCATACATCAGAGCTATGTATGCACAGCTGAAAAGTACAAAACAATCAAAGAAACAAGCCTCTGCATGCCACATACAGTCACTTAAACATGTGGCAACAAAATGTTGGAAGTCTGCACTTAATTAAACAAAGAGTCACCTCAAAGCACTGACTGTTAATGTGTAATCTTTGGGGCTGGCGATATCGTGCAATTTCATTGAAAGTAATAAAATATCAATATCTTATTGAAGGCATTTATAGTGATTGTTATCTGATTGATGAAGAAGACAGTGCTTGAAGACCATTATTTACTTTATGTGTGTGTGCGTGTGTGCTTTCCTGTATGGAGTTTTATAAACCCTTTCATTTGAAAACAAAGTGATACAATTACTTTCAACCAAAATGACATTGTTATTCCTCATCGGCGAATGATAAATACGTTATATGTAGTCTTGGAATGATGCCTAAACTGGGATGCTAAGTGACACAATGCTAAACATCAGCGTAACTAGTGATGTTAGTTAGCATACAAGAAACATCTGTTCATAAGTCCTGAACATAACTCACTGAAACGGCATCTGCTGAGCTTGTTATTCATGAATCTTATCAAACGAAACTTAATTTTGCTGACTTGAATGAAGTTCAGAGATTTTCAGCGCTTCAGTTTTTCTGAGGACTTAATGATTCAGAATATGTCACTTCTCAGTCAACAATAATCAATCTGCTAGTCAGTGGTTTCACAATTGATTTGAATCATTTGAGACAAGACATGTGAGGGTGGCAGAGTTGACAGACAGACTGATCTTTACCAACGCGCTGAGCAATCCATTTCTTCCTCACATGATGGTGAATGTGTTTGACATTGATGGAGACTGTGGAAACTTACTTTCTGTGTTTGTATGCAAAATGATGTCATATAGTTAATAGTTACCATTTAAAAAAAAAAAAAAGATTTTTTCAACCGTGTCTACTAGAAATTATGTTTATATATTAGAGATTTGTAACAGCGTACTTTGAAGTAATGCTGCTTGGATTACACTTATTAACATAAACATCAACCGTTCTAACAAACATTTGGAAAACATTCAGTGACGAAAGACAACATTCAACTAAAGCATGATTTACATTTGTATGCAATATAGAACAATAAAGCAGCAAACAACTACAATCTATGTAAAGATATAGCGATGTAATGCCTACCTGAGCAGAGAATGAACTAAAGAGGCCACTGAAATACTCTCAATCTCATATCATGCACCTTTAACTTAACTTTAGGAAAAGATCATGGTCTTGGTTAAATATTGAGAAAGCTCAAAAGTGACTTAAAGCACAAGACATGACATGTTGGCTTTATAAACATTTAACCGAAACCCCTTTCGTCCCCTGTCCGGAACCAAAGTGTTGTTTTTTTTTCCGAAACATGACCACCCACAGCACTCAGGATGCTTTACGGTGTCGGAGTCATGGCCAGGTCCTTAATCTCCTCAAAATGTATTTAGAAATAAACAAATTAGTAGCACAATAATGTAATTTCCTTCCTTCCTCCATTATTCCTTTTGTGTACAACAGAAAAGTTTACAGCGTACGGCATATACAGATATACGTGTGCGCACTGTGTATCTCTAGTAGTTTTACTAAATTGTTACCATCATCTTGTTTGACCTTGAACTCAGTCAGTCATTTCCAGGATTTGACCAAAATTCCAGTTTAGTTTCAAATCTGCTAACCTCGGCATTATTAGGACTTTCACATCCATGCAGTTGTGTTAAAAAAAGTTCTTCCTTTAACCGTCCTTTTCTCGTCTACACTGACTGAGGGACAGGTGTTTTGTCTTGGAGATATTCTGAACAAAGTCAAATGTAGATCCCCTCAAAGGATTAAGACCTGTTTTACTCAACATGAGAAGGAATCTGAGCCTGAAACTGACCTTGGTGAGAGCATTATAGAGAGAAGGGGGCTAGTATAGATGTATCTGGTTGGGGTGACTTTGTTTAAGCCATGTAGCCTCCAAACAAAAGTACACCGACTGCTCTCGAAAACAAAACTGTCAACTCCAGCTGCAGAAAAGAGAGAACAAACAGTACAATGAAAATTCTGATAGTCTCCCAAATGTCTGTGCTTCTCATCAACACTACCATGTGGGAGTGTTTCCATACACCTGCTGCTGAGTCAGAAAAATTGAGAACGATTGTTGATGCACACTGTACATGTGTGTGCCGCGAGCACGCACATTCTTGTTGACTATCGGCTGCAGTCATTACGCGTGTTCCTGGAACAGGAAATGCACCAGAGTGCTGGATATGGACATGTGTCCACTCCTCCATGGGGTCAGGAGAGGAGACCTCCACCCTGACACGATGCAGCTGGGATTCCCGGGCCTTGCTGCATTGCATCATGGGAGGATTGTGATGCATTTATCGGGAGAAAGAGAGGGATTGTTCCTCAGTGTGTGTGTGTGTGTGTGTGTGTGCGTCGGGCCAACACCATGTGTCTGTCAAGTCCAAACTCAATGTTAGATTATTCTTCCTAAAGTTTCCTTATTAAACACATTTAATGTCCATTAATACAAATGCATCTGTAAGTGCACACAACTTTCTTTCTTTTTTGTGAGTGTGTGTGTTGCCTTTCTCTGTAGTGTCCACCTGCTGAGGGTTCTTTGTGTATGTATAGGCTCCATTGTTGCCATGTGTGTCCTCAACCTCCACAGTTCAGTCTATTTTCGGGGAAATGACATCACAAACAGAAGCCCCGCTGATCTGCTATCTGGTTCCCTTTATCTGCTGCTGCCCTCAAGAATGACAAGTCACGGTTAAACATCTGGAGGGCTTGTTAAGGCCTGAGTCATCACAGGGTGGGTCGGGCCGACATGTGGACATATCAATTGTAAACCCATACATAAGTCTCACAACCCAACGCCTACAGATCTTGTGAAACATATTTCCAACAGCCATCCGTTGTGAATCACTCTCCTTGTCTTCACTGATGAAATGGAAATGAATCACTTACACTCCCTCCTCTGGTGACTTCCTCTTCTGATTCAGGGGTGCTATCTGAGGGTCCTCACACACACACACACACACACACACACACACACACACACCTTCTCCTACAGATGGCTACAATCAACCGCTTGTGCAATTACCGTAAATGAAGCATAGCCTTCTATACATGACTCATTTGCTGCCAGTAGCTGTGCGAAATAGCATTCTTTACATTTTAGTGCAACTGAATCAATCTTCACTGGATGGTAAACAACATCTACAGTAAAACTTGTGAAAATAATTGAGACGGTGGTGACAATAAGACGCCGTAAACGCAGCTTAGAGCACCTTTCTTCAGGAGGTTCAGTAAGACGTGTTAAAGCCGTAATTATAGTGTGAAAAGCAAACCTGTTACCCAGAACTGTCTCAAACGTCTGAGAGCTTTTCACTTCTGTCATGTAAGGTAGAGACAGTGTTTTGAATCTTGCAGATTATTGATTCAGATGATTGATTATTCACACCTAAGTATCTAGTTATGCTCCAACCAGGCTTTTAGGCAAGATACCAAGCACCAATTCAACATCACAATCAGTTTTTACAGAAGGTTACGTCTCAATAACGAGACTGTGGTGAGAAGGCACCCAAAGGCTTCTTTGCAGTGGATGTTTAAAACTGTCTGATTGACATTTATTTAATTTTGGGAGACAAGAGAATCGGCAGATTCTCATCAGGGGCATGGCTGACCTGTGAGAGGTCACTGTCCATTTTCTGTAAATGTTCTACAAGTGCTAATTATGTTGAGCAAGTTAAATGAACGGGCATTTAAGTACCTTTGTGTGGGCGATGTTCTCTTTTGTCTGTATTGGGATCCCTGCAGTCCTCACCTACCTACACAGTGTCTCAGTTATTGATTCAGCCTTTAGCGCATTGATCAACCCCAAAGGGTGGGGGGGTCTATGGCACAGCTGTGTCTTTTGGGACCACCATGTCAGTCTCCTAAATACCTATTCAGTATTCGAGCCAAAACAAATCATTCACACTTAAAAGTGGAAATTGCTGATATTTTGTATATTGTGTGTTTTGGCATCAGATATAGACTTACAGTATTTTCGGCAGACTGAATCATATGAGAGGGTTGAGTATTTTATTCATGGGTGCTAAATTACAAAACGCTTTGATGTTTACCGGTTTGGTTAAGTTAAAAAAGCCTCTTTATCATTTCCTGAACTGAATCCCTTCAGGTTGAAGAGAAGATGTTACAAAATGGAGGCAAATGGTGTAAACAGATTCCAGACACGTGGATCATGCAGAAAGAAAACATCTGTAATATTCTAGTACATTCAGAGTACTTGGCCTGCCTAAAACACCTGCCAAAACTCCACCTCCGGAGGCCAGTTTGTACGTTTCTAGAAGCTGGGAGGTCTTTAACGGGCTATCCCATAATTTCCTGGCTGCCTGACGTGAAGATATGCAACCCGTGACCACTAGATGGAGGTCAGCAGTACCAACCACTGTGTCTACCACAGAGGGACAAGTAGATTTGGCCCTGCACACAGATACGGTGGAGGGGAAACCGCCGCTGCTGTTAGTGAAAGTAGAAAGAATATAGAAGAAGAAACCTGAGGGAAGAGTAAATGTGGATGAGTGCAAACCATTTCACTTTCAGATCGGAGGTTCCATTCTGATAAAGACAGGAAGGCCATGAAGAGATAGCAAAGGGAAAGTGTGTGTGTGTGTGTGTGTGTGTGTGTGTGTGTGTGTGTGTGTGTGTGAGAGGGAGAGAGCACCGATTTGAGGCAGTGAAGCAGTCACAGGGCAGAGAGTGAAGGGGGGGTCGGGGGGGAGTGGTTAGTCCTTCTTACTGCCTGTATATAGAGAAGACAGAGTCAGACAGCAGATCCAGTGAGAGAGTGTGAGGAACAGAGACAAGAGAGACAGACTTTTTACCTCTCTACCTGTGGATGACTTCCTGAGCAACACACCAGCAAACTTCTGCAGTTCTCTATCGGATTACCACGCCAGCATTTCTCTCTCAAATCAAGGTAGCAAAAGTTTTCTTCACTTTTCAAACAGCAGCCGTCTTTAATACCAGACTACAGGCAGGTGCAGGCTCAACGTCACAGTACGGTTGATAATGATCTCATGTTACTTTAAATATCTTAATGAATTATGGGATCTTTTAAACTCTTTTGATATATGTTTGCCTCTCATTATTTCTTTTAAGATTATTTCCACTGTGCTTCATGTGGCCAAAAGCACTGAACTTAAGTCGAGTCTTTAATGTTATGATATATTTACCTTTTGGGTGTGGGATTGTAGGATACAATATTCAAGTTATTAATAGGTTCAAGAATACGAGTGGGAGACTGCGATTTCTTTTAAAGAGGTTATTGAGTACAATGAGTTTGTGGTGACTCCTCTTGTGTAATTCACAACGAGACTGTTGACACACAAAGACCAGTTATCCCGTCACTCACCTGTTAAGGGTGCTGGCCTCATGAGACACCTGCACGCTATTATAAATGCTCTCTGTTCTCCTTGACCTGGTGGGTGTCTTAAAAATAGAGCTGGACAAATGATCGTCAAGGACTGTGTGAGAGGGAGCTAAAAAGGGCTTTTACACAGATACACTGAGCCAAGATGCCTGAATTATCTGTTGGGTGGTGCAGTGATATCTCAAAGTTCAGCTGTGTGAAAGAGTGGGGTCATAGGAAAAAGTATATCATTAAAGGTTTGGTGCTTTTTAAAAAAAAAAGCTTTTATAGAGGCTATCATCTGTAGGAGAAGTGTCTGTGTTCACATTGAGGTCTGTGCGTTGTCGGGACTAATCTGGACGCTGTTTTTACAAGGAGGTGCCGCTCTTATGTTATATAATGTAGGCGAACTGACCTATTAATAAATAACTGTCTGGGCTTTTGACATTGTCGGAGATTCCTCACAGCGTTGCTCAGTTTACTGAGATCAAGCAGGTAAAAGTTGTGAACAAGGTCCTGAAGCGGTGATGAAGGTCCAGCTGAGACATGTGACAGTGCAGTACTTCTACTTCTACTGTTTGATGTGTGTATGCACTTTATGTATGTCTGTGTGTGTGTGTGTGTGTGTGTGTGGGTTGCCCTTTCTGTTCTGTCCTGTGGCTGCAGTGTGGGATCAGTAGCTTGGCTACAGCTGTCTGGAGCACTGATGGGCCGATATGATATGGCAGCTTCTAAACTGTGTTTCATAAGATGAAAATGAGCTAAGAAGATAGACCCATCAGCTTAAATCTCTCGCTTCAGCTGAGAACTGTACCAAACACAATCAAATATACTTCCAGTTTGACCTAAAGGCCTCGGCAGCTTTTGAGCAGACTGGTGGCCGTTTTATTGCACTACTGCTCAGTCTGTCACAACAAAACACTTGTGTTAAGGAGGAGACCTGCTCATCCCATGCTGCCGTGTGTGTGTGTGTGTGTGTGTGTGTGTGTGTGTGTGTGTGTGTGTGTACACGTGTTTTGACTAAAGGGGCAGTCATGCAGAAAACGGGACAGCAAAGATCTTTTCCGGAGCCCTTTATGTAAACAGCGTTCCAACCCCTTGTCTTTGTCCGGCCCCATATAGACTCACACATTCAGTAACCTGAGACCAACACACACACACACACACACACACACACACGCATCCACACAATCAACCACACGTGTGGATGATTTTGTTTGACGTTTTGTTGAGAATGAGAGTCGTGGATTGCTCGTTCATACACACACACACACACCAACTCTGGCCATTGAAGGTGTTACACGTGTGTATTCCCATACAAGAAAATAAATAGTGTGATGATTAAAATCATTAGAGGAACTGTATCACCTTCTTGCTTCAAAGTTACTGACAAAAAAAAAATCAAGATCAGGTGACACATATGCTTGGATGTTCCTTTAATAGCAGTTTGTAAAATAATTTGGATCCATTGACATTTAATTTCTTAAATCAATCAAAGTGTTGATTTTTTTTCTTGATTGTGCCCGTTAATACCAGAGTAACCAGCCGGAGCACAAGTGTGATCATGTAGTTTCCCTCTACCTGCCCTGTTACTGTGCCCCAGCATGGCTTTTAGATATCCACTATTGTCTCTGAGGACCATTAATACTGGATGTGGGCTGTGTCTGTTCATTCAGACAATTTCCTCGAGTGTGACAGATTAGCTTTGACAGCAGGACATTACTTTATTTCCGGGACTGAGATATCATGCTAATCTGGGACAATAACGTCCCCTCCCTCACACTAGTAACTGCACTGGCAGGTCCCTCATAGATAAAGTAAAACATTTAATTACAGGGTGATTGCAGTGCACCTATATGTGTCACTGCATTGGTGAAAATAATAACAGTTCAGGACTGACTGTTTTTATGCCAGCAGGCATTAAGGAAAGATATAGTTTAATGTGGGACTCACATTAAGGGCTGAGAATTAAAACAAAATGGTAGCTAAAGAACCTTTCATCTGAGACCTGAAGCGACCCCATCATACATCATTCAACATGTTTAAAGACCTCATCACATACTTGTTTCCCCTCACTTTCTTGCTGAGTGCATTTACATATTTAGCTGCTGTTTGTTTTGGATGCTGGAAAGGAAAGTTGTAAAAATAAGCAGAGCATCTCCAAGGATCACGTGGGTTTCCTGCGAGGTCTGTTTAAATGTTTTGTGTGTGTGTGTGTGTGCGTGTGTGCGTGCTAAGTGCATATGCGTCAGTGTGTTTGTGAATTACACAGCGGGAGGTGGATAATGTGTTGGCAGCAGTCATACCCCAATTATGCTGCTCACAGTGCGACCTTTTCCCATCTCTTCCGCTGGAGTGCGAAGCATTTGTCTCTTGTGGAGAAAAGCAGGCCAACATTCACAAACATTTTTTTGCTCCCACGTGTAAATTATAGAAGGGCATGTATTAAATGATGTTACCTTTACCTAACATCTGGAAATCTTGTGTCTTTGCTTTCACAGATTTATCATGAAGCTCTTACTGTTGTCTGTGGTGGCGCTGTTCCTGGTGGTGGGAGCTAGCACTGCAGAAAGAATCCTGTCAAGAAGGACCAAGAGGGAGCTCGCCAGTCCGCTCCATGTTGGAGGCATCAGGGACCCGTTTGGCTCCTACTGCGAGAGGAGAGGAGGCTGCTGCCCCGGCAGAGACGACCTGTGCACGGTTCCCTACCTGGACACCATCTGCTACTGCGACCTGTTCTGCAACCGGACCATCGCTGATTGCTGCCCTGACTTCTGGGGACATTGTCTCGGCGTGGAGCCACCTTTCATAGGTAAGTAAAAGTGCACAAGCGAATGAGTTTGTGCATCGGTGAGTTTTGCAGGTGTGTGAGGGCCTGTCGTAGTTAGTGGTCATAAAGTCAGATTACCCTCCCTTCAACAAAGACTGAAAATACAATACCCTCCCTTGATAGTTTGTGTAGAAAAGTTCAGATTTAGCACATTTTACCGTCTATCTAACTGTTGAGTTGACCCCATTTGGACTCCCCACACAGTTATAACTCCATTCTCTCATTGCAGAGGTGTAAAGTGTGCCTGTGACAGCAGAGGACTACATGCAAACAGAGCAGGGAACAGTAGGCTTCTTATTAACCCAGCCAGACAGAGGGAGGGAGGAGGAGGGGTGGATGGAGGGATGAATGGAGGTCAAGAGAAAGAATGTGGGGTATGCGGAGGGAGGGGGACACAGACAACGGGTGCGGGACGGGAGACAGAGGGGTCGTTACAGGTATGTGTTACCTGGACGACAAGGTAGGGGTGTCACGGGGTGGGACACTAATGCATGTTTAAGAGTGTACACACACACACACACACTCACACACACACACACACACACACACACACACACACACACACACATATCCGACTACACAACTACAAAAGCCTGAAGGAAGGCTGTGGCGCTTCAAAAGGAAAGAGGTGACGTATTTGTCTCAGTCTTTCTTTGTTTCTCCTATCGCTGCCCTGCAGTCACAGATTGTTGTGTTCCGTGACTCAATATTCAACGCTTTGTTAAACTGGACTTTTCTCATTCTGTCGTCTAAGTCGGTGTATAACATTCTAATATTTGCTTACAAAAAAAATGCCTCCTTCATGCCACGTAACCTTTTACATTGAAACCACGTACTCTCAGTTCAACAGGAGTCCTTCCATATAAAGTCCTTCTATGTCAATGAGTAACTTTTCACACTCTTCAGCTCTGCAGTAACTGAGTTGTGACAGACTGGGTGAGACAGCTGTGAGGGGGATGATGGGTAACAGAGGGCCTCAGTCATAAATCACACAATCAGCTCTGCGCCTCACACCAGAGACAAGGAAACCTGCTCACACTGTAAATTCTCAGCCGGCTCATGCCGTAAATCCCGTATGAGATTCACACTGACAGCACCTTCCACTGTAAATCAGTATAAACCTCATTGTGAATATTTTGGCCAACTCCAGTATCGTTTCACAAGCTGTAAGTAAGCAGGGTTCAAACTTCAAATCCATTCCAAAAGAAATGCTATGTTTGTTTGTGACAATGCTGAGTGGACCATTGCAGCTCACAAATGTTAATGATTTTCTGGTGCTTAGTCGTGGACGTAATGGTAGGCTTCTTCTGTGGCCCTTTCCCTCGGTCTCACTAGAGGTGGTGAAGTAGAGCGTAAGCTGGTTAAAGCATGACGAAGGCCCAGGAAGCCTGGGAAGGCAGGAAAGAAGCTAACGCCACATTCCTACACTGGATTACTGGAGCTCAGAGCTCCTTAGAACTCACATACATTCTGTGTGTGTACACTCTCACGAAGACGTAAACACTCTGCACACACACCTGAGGAGTTAGTGATAGCCCTTTTATTTATTGTGATCACAAGTGAAGGAATTTGGTCGGTATGTTTGTATCATATTAAGTGTGCTTTAAATATAAGTGCATCTCTGTCTCCCATTTGTGTATTTGCTTATATATTAAATTACCCCTCTTTGTCTCCTCTCAGGCACCTGTGAAAGAAATGGAAACAAGTTCTTTTCTGGGCAAACATACAAAGAGAACTGCAATTTATGGTATGTAACCCTGTCTTTCTTCCTCTTACTTCTCTTTCAACCTCTTAAATCCTGGGCTTTCCCTTAAATGTCATTTTTAAGTGGCTTAAAGCTTGAAAAACATGGCTCCCCTCACTTTATCTAAATGCTCTGTGTGTATACTTGTTCTAATACTTCACACGAACCAATGCATGCATATGCTGAGTGGCATATTGAAGCCCAAGATGCCAAGACTTTATGGATGCACCATTGAAACAAATTGTAGATGTGTTGTGCTTCACATTTCTCCTGATTTCATGCTGACATACAGTGCTTTGTGTTCTTAAAACCTCTGGGATTTGTAGTTGGTGGGTTCACAAAATATGTTCGTGCACTGCATGTGTTTCAAGTAATAAAAACACTGGTGGCATCATATTCAGTTTTTATATCCATATTTTTGGTTATATTGATCACATGATCTTCATATCTTTATACACACACAAACACTGACCCTGTCTACTTCCGCTTCCTCTACTGTGCGTCATACCTCTTTGTCTGTAACAGGTCATTTTTCTTCTAAGGAATACAGACAGTAGGAAAAGCACAGGTGTAAAAAATATAATGAATGACGACGGAATTCCATTTGGCTGCTTCAGTTTCAGGTCACCGGTCTTGTGCATGCTGGCTCACTGTGATGGTTTACTGGGACACTTTAATAGAACGGAGCCATCGTTAATGTTAGTCATAGTTTTCCTGCTATGACAAGTCAAAATGTCTGCTGTGAAAAAGGCCAATAGTTCTTAAGAATAATATTTAGTCTAGTTTTTAAACTTAAGAGTCCATGTATTGAACAGCTAATACTGATAAAGTCGGTTATTATTCATTCCAAAGCTTTCTCTGTTATGATCTGTTGTGAAGAAAGGCTTGGTAGTTTGTGTCTGTAACAGGAGGAACAGTAGCTGCATAACTAAATCAAAACGGGCCCCATGCTAATCTTTCCCATCTAGTAGCTTTGTGTTTGTGACGTTCATATCCCCCAGGCCTACTGAGTAGCATGGTCGATTTAACCTTAATTGAAATAGACTTTCTTCTGATCCTCTGAACTGTTCTTACTTTGATGTGGATACAAATCCACTCTCCTCTATTGCACAAAAGTGAGGCTGGATGTTGTACTACGAAGCTCCTATATTCTTGTTTTGACCCTTTGATTAGAGCTCCTTGACAATCTTGTATTATGTCTCCAATAGGACATATTTCCCAAACATCGCTTCACTTTACGACCTTGACATGAGCTTAAGCTATTCTGAAAACATTATTTTAGCTCTCAGTGGCAGCAAAGTGCATTTTTATCTCCATGGCCTTCTACACCCTGAAGGCACCAGAGGCCATGTGGCTGTTGACATTTTTCTGCGTGATAATATCAACAGTCAAGGAGAGGTAAAGCAGATCTTGACCTACTAGAGGAAGGAGACGGAGGAGGTCAAGTGAGAGAAGGCAGGAAAAAGGGAATTTTAATTCCTCACCTATCCTCTACTGTGGTTTCTCTCGTCTGTGTCATTTGATGTTCCTCAAAGACCCTTTGTACGTGTGTGAACATGAACGCCAATGTTGATTTAACATCCATTTGTACATCCCTATTATATTTATCCTCATCCATCATCCATGACATGTCTAACCCTGACCCCGCTGATCTCCACTTACAACCTAGCAGCTGTTTGACTCCAAAAGCTGTACTGTGTCAATCTGGTAGGCCTGAAGTATGACTTTTATCATTGTAGCTCAATTAGGTTTGACTTAAAGGGTCCGATGGGTCCGTAGATAGGCCAGGATGGCAGGGCGAATGTTTCTCCTTAAAGGAAATACTTGTGGAAGCTGCATGTTAAAATAACCTCCAGCGTCCTAGTTCATCAACATTGTTTATGTGCTAACTCTCCCTGTCACGAGCAAACAAAAGAGTCTTATGCACATATGCTCTCACACATGCTTGTTAAGGCAATACACATGGATGCTTGAGAAATCGCACCACAGCTTTGGCGCGGAGGGACACATGCACTCCCTTTTCCTACTCCTACTCTCTCCACTTATTCATTTCCCAAATGTGTGTCCTCCCACCTCTCAGAATCAGGGCTGCAGGGTGGAGGAGAGGGCTTCCGCTTTGAGTTGACAGGCAGCTCTCCCTCTTTTCCCTCCAAAGTCTCTCATTAGCAGTTATCAAGCTCCCGCTCACTGTTATCTAACCTCCTACATGTCTTCTCTAACCACTGGCCAAACATCACTGATGCAGTCAATGAAAAGCTGCTCTTTGACCGTCAGTATCATAATCTGTAAAACCTCAGGGCAGATTGTGTCAGTGCTAGGAAGCATAGAAACACAACCGGAGTTAGCATGAAGTATTAAAGCAATGCTTATGTTGTGTGTGTGAAGATATAGCATGATATGTGTGGCGGTCTTCTGTTGTGTTAATGGGATAAACCCAGCTGAGACCTTTTCCTTCCCTGAGCTGTTCGCATCCTGATAACTCTGTATCTGCTCCAAATGATCTGAAACGCGGCGCGTCCTGCTCACACAGCCCTGAAGGAGCAACCATCTCTGTTATGATTTGGCAGCAGCTCTGCTCTGTCAGAGTGTACTTCAGATTGGACAACAGCCAATGCCAGCTTGGACTTTCTAAATTGTTGTCTAGTTTCTCAGATTAAGTAGATACGTCATATCTGAACGCAGAGCATGGCTCTGTTGCTCCTACTGAGCTGGCAGGATTTGGCAAGACAATGCACCGCATGTCATCCAGGTGTGTGTATTTCTATGTGTGTGTGTGTGTGTGTGTGTACGGTCCCAGAGGTGAAGATGGTGTCTTTCTCTAATAAAGGGCATGACGGAGAATGTGAAATATGGCCCTTCACTCTGTCCCCCTGTCTCCATGAGTCTGTCATTATTCCTGTCCCTGTGTGCATGTCTAGTGCCATTACTGTGTGAATTCATTGTTGTTTTTGACCCACTGATGCTGAGCTGCATGTATGTGTTCCTGCTAGAGGGAGAGGTGAAAGATTATTGTCTCTTTCCTCCAGTCACAGCCATTAGACGGTCCTGGTTTATACTCTGCCGCTGTGTGTGTGTGTGTGTGTGTGTGTGTGGGTGTGTGGCTGTTTTTGGTCGTGTCTGAGAGACCCAGCAGGGAGGAGTGCAGTATGAGAGGTGATACACACTCTGTAGGTTCAGTGTGACTGAAGGGGAATTTGGCCTCTTCAGTGTGTGTGTGTGTGTGTGTGTTTAATGATCCTCTTGGGCAGGTTCTCCTCCCTGTAAACATGATGTCTAAAATGTACAGAAGACTTTATGGTTGGACGTCTATACACTCCTCTGTGGGAAACACCCCTCATTCTTTCTCTCTCGCTGATGCACCCATTTATTATGTTATTCCTGAAACAGCGGCTGACCTTGCAGCTGTTTATTTTTGGTGGCTTAGTAACTTTATTTAACCAGGTAGTCTTAGAAAGAGGGACCTGGGAAAAATAATATTTACAGTCAGACAACCGAGACACCATGAAAACATCAATAAAGCTTTAAAATCTCCAAGTCTCCGAAGAGCAATGAAGGAATCTGGCTTGTTTGCATTTCATTTAAATGCTGCATATTACCTGAATCTAGTCCAGTCAGGATGAATGTGTCATAAGAAGACCAACTTTGAGATACAGAGAGCAACGGAATTTTTCATTACTGATAAAGCATGTTATGATGAGACTAATAATAGTTTGATATTTTAGGAAATTATCCAGTCAGTTCGCTTAGGTCAGCATAAAGACTAAAACTAAATCCTGATTATACAAACAAGATATATCGTGTTAATTATTGAGCTCTAGAGATGCTGGTAGGCAGATTGTGTTACCTTTGGACCAATCCAGACTAGTTGTTTCCCCCCTGTTTCCACTCTTTATGCTAAGCCAAGCTAACTAGCTGTTGTGCTGTAGCTTCATATTTATTGTATAGGCAGAATGTGTGTTTCCCAAAATATTAAGCTATATTAATTATATAATAATTAATTATGAAACAGCATGACATTGAAGAATATCTACTGAATACATTTAGACATAAAAGTTGACCCACCAACAGTTTTATGATTCAGAAAAGTCATGTGTAAATCACTGCATTATCTCTGTAACTCATCTTTATTATTCTATGAAGTTTATAAAGGACAGGCCTCAGTTGTTTTGTTGTGTCCCGACTATTTAGGAACTATATGTGGTGGAATATCCTGTAGAATAGATCATTGTAGTTTCAAACAATTAATCCGCGAGTTTAGGGAACTCTTGTGTGAAATTGTACATTTAGCTGCAGCAAATCATTTACTTTGAAGTATCAGCGGAAGGTGAACTGAAGTGCCTGGTGACTTATCTGTGTGAGTAATCTCTCTGTCTGGTACAAGTGCTCTTACTTTAATGAAGCACACCCATTTTATACTTCACTGCATTTTGGAGGGAAATCACTTTTTTACTCCACTACATTTATTTTGTATGATAAATTTAGATTATTTTTGCCGATAAAACTTTGAATGCAGGAATTTTACTTTTAATAGTCCTTTTATTTAAGTAAAGAAGGATCTTGATACTTTCACCACTAGTTTGGCTACACACACACACACACACACTTCTTCACAGTGAGTCATCAGAAAGTACACATTGGAAGTTACAGTATTTTTGAGCATCCCCTAAGTCAACATTGTCGTTGTTGATAATTAATATCCTGCTTCTATCTCGTCTGTTATCTTCTTGACTTTTCCTTTGCTTCCTTCTGACCAAAAATGGATCCTTGTTCTGCAGCCTTAAAAGGCTGAATGTTTCCTTTAACCTCCCCCTCTGTTTCTCACTCCCTCGCCTGTTCTTTTTCCATTTTTTCCAGTTACTGACATTCTTCTCTCAATTAACTTCTTATTTGGGAATTCCCCTGAGCCCTTGAATATTTGTCTGTCTTAGATAGTCCTTCTATTTTAGCGGTTGACTTCACTGGCTTTAGCATAAATATGAAAATTATAACTCGTGTAATTGCAGCCGCTAATGCCTTGGTCTCAACTCATTGTCCCTAATGTCTGTCTGTCTGTCCTCTGCAGTACATGTGGGACCACAGCACGATGGGAGTGTGAGCAGAACGCCTGTCTGATGGAGCCGGACGTTATCCACGCAATTAACAGAGGCAACTATGGGTAAAATAAACAAACGCGTCCTTGATGACATGATATTCTACAAAGAGATTTGTATCACACATGGTGACAAACACATTCTCTTCCTGGTTTGTGCTTTCAGATGGAATGCAGCCAACTACAGTCAGCTCTACGGCATGACTCTGGACGAGGGCATCCGCTTCCGCCTGGGCACACAGAGACCCTCCAGGACTATTATGAACATGAATGAGATGCAGGTACAGGACAGTATTCATCCCTAAAATGTACTTCTGGGGTTGAAAGGACAAAGAAAGGAATAATTGGGTCAATGTTCCGAAGGCACAGATACAAAGTTCAGTGTCGATACTCATATTCTGAAGCAAGTCATAAAAACCTTGCCATCTTCACTGTTTTGGAGCTGAACTTTAACCTCTGACCTTGCTTGTAAAAGGTGGCATGAGGGAACAAATTTTCATATAAGGATTTGAAGAATATCGTGTTACCCTCTTAAATCCAGGGTTTCCCTTTAAAATTCCACTTTAAAAAGTATTTTCACTTTAGCACCTTAAAGTCCCAAACATCACATATTATGTATTTGTTGTTCCCACTGAAGCTGTATGACGTCATATTTGTGAATTGTTAGTTTTGTTGTGGCTTGTCACTTCTTTCAAGGCTCCTGCATACTCCCTGTAAGTGATATGGTGATATTACTGTGATATGCAGGTTTGAAACCTATTACACAAAGGAGCGCTGATCAAAACGTTTCTCGCTTAATTATGGTGGCTTGTTGGTATGCGATGGCGACTCTGGCTGGAACCTCAGCCCACTCTGATCCGCTCAGTCTTTGTTTATATTTCACCCAGACAGATTACATAAAACTGAACCAAAACATCAGATAGAAAAGATGGAGGGGATGGTGGCTGCCTGGAGAATAAAGAGCAAACCTCATCTTCAGTCTGCACCCCCCCACCTCCATCCATCCATCCCCACTCCCCCTGTTTACCTCTCCCAGCATTCCATGACTACTTCCACCCTAAAAACCTCACAACTCCCCCTCGTTCTTCCGCTGTCAGCGTGTTCCTACCTGTGCCAGGAACCAGATCAGAGACTTGCAGCCCATTCATAAACCTCTCTGTCCCACTGTCCTTTCATGTCTGTACGTAGACTCCTGTGTAAGGGATGGAAAATTATGAATTCATGAATTACTTAACTTAATTCATGTATTTAGACATATTCTTGCAGGCCATTTCCCCATTTATCAAACCTTTAGATCAGGTGTTTCAGGTGTCTGTCTTTTGGACCTTGACCTTCCACAACTACAAGTCTCAGACCAGCAGCACATTCTTTAGTTATGTATCAGGTGGCAGTTTGTACTTTGAATACCTTGCTATTAATCGGAGGAATGCTGCACAGGAGCCAGGCTCTTTGAGAGAGAGAGAGAGAGAGAGAGAGAGAGAGAGGGGGAAAGTCAGTTGTACAGAAGTATGTGCTCCGTTATCACACTTAACGGAGAGATTAAGAGAGCGTCCAACCTTAAGTGGAGATTAACAGATTGAGTATGTTTGGTATGTGAGAAGCATCTGCCAGTGAACATGCACTATCAGGAAGCTATTTGTACTCCATCATCCTAATTAGGATTTATCATCACAGTGGCATTGGTGCCTCCATGAAAGAGTTGGGTTGGTTCAAATGAGGCATTCAATGTAACCAAACGGCCTTGTGCTTTCATGGAGAGGACCGGGATCAAAGTTCCTGTCTATTCTACAGAGATTGACACTGGGCCAAATGGTCCTAAGTGCTTGTGAATAAGTCCCTTCTACTGGAGGGTTGATTAGCAGATTTATGTAATCTGCCTGGGATCCAAACTTGTCATACAAAGCGGTCCACAAGTACTTTAATTGCAGCTGTTAGTTTGTGGGCAAATAATTACATTGTAAGTCCCACTACTGCAACTCTGTGTTGGTGGTTTAAACTGCTATTTCCTCCATTTTGCTCTCAATCCTTGTTTAAAAATTGTGGTCTGCCACTTATGGTAACAATTGTCACTGAGAAACATTAATGTTTCCTCAATGAGACTTGTTCTGTGAGAGTGTAACGGTGATTAAGCTCTATTGACTTGACTCATTTTTCCTCTCTGTCAGATGAACATGGACCCTGAGAGTGACGGTCTGCCTCTCTACTTCAACTCGGCAGAGAAGTGGCCAGGAAAGATCCATGAACCGCTGGACCAGGGCAACTGTGCTGCATCCTGGGCTTTCTCAACTGCAGGTAGAATACATGAAGAAAATGCAGGGAAATATGGGATATCATTATGAGACGTAAAGGAAGGGCAGAAAATAGAACACAAACTTGTGAAAGTGTCCCAAACTTTGACATATTTGACAGTTGAGGTTCAAAAAGACAAACTATATACCCGATACTTTTATCTTAAATGGACATGACAATGTGCTGACCACAAAAAGTCTTCCTCAAGTTTATGGTTGAAATATATTGTCTTTCTGTGCAGATATTTGTTATCCAGCACCTGCAAAATGTTTATGGATATTTATGATTACTTTAGCTTCCTGAAGACACAAATTGTTACAATTATAGAAAAAACTCCTACATATTTTACAACACATTTTTGTGTTTTCATAAAAAATAAGAAAATAATAATAAAAAGGTTTTAAGCATGATATTTTGTAATAAAGCCTGTCCTTTTCACTAGCTGTGGCATCAGACAGAATCTCCATCCAGTCAATGGGTCACATGACTCCTCAGCTGTCCCCACAAAATCTTATTTCCTGTGACACGCGCAATCAGGGAGGGTGTGATGGGGGGCGCATCGATGGAGCCTGGTGGTTCCTCCGACGTAGAGGGTAAAGACTTTGTTTTATTTAATCTTCAGTAGAAAACAAGAAAGCAAAGCAACATACAATACCTTTTGGCGATTACTTGGTAACAGCCTTCTAAAGATTGGGCACATCTTACCATCGCTCCTCTTCCCTCCACAGAGTGGTGACAGAAAACTGTTATCCATACCAACCCCCGCAGCAAACACCAGTGGAGGTGGGCCGCTGTATGATGCAGAGTCGCTCCGTCGGCCGGGGGAAGAGGCAGGCCACACAGCGCTGCCCCAACACACACAACTACCAAAACGACATCTACCAGTCCACACCGCCCTACAGGCTGTCATCCAATGTAAGCACTGCACAAACACAAAACAATACATGCATAAACAGGTACACCTTTCCTTCATCAGTTCCAACACCGGCCAGCACTTTGTTCCCATTACTACAGTAAACATGCAGCTTTAAGCTTTCGCACTCTTTCCTCATGCATTCTTGACTCCTTCGTGAATGAACATGGGAATGTACAGGATTAAGTGCTCGACAGCACTGAATCAATGAAGGGCAAAGAGTTGTATTTTTTCCTGCATGTTCGCCACTGTCATGGTCCAGGAAGTTGGATTCAGGATTTGGAAGGTTGACTGAAATATAATACATCATTTAATCAGTTCTTATTGTAGTTAGATTCAGATAGAATGTACTGGATATACAGGCCAGTGAGTGCATTAAACCAATTTGCAGACTATCATCATCCATAGTCATTATCTACCAAGATTCAAAAGTCTATCTGGAATTAGATTTCTGTGTTTACCTTCTAATATCAATGTCATCTATTCATGCTCAGCTACAATAGTGAGTTGAATAAACCAGAGTCAGTCAGTCGATATGAGAGCAAAGTGTTGAGTGACTGATCAGAATCACAATTAGGTTTGTTGCCAAGTATTATATTCACATACAAGGACTTTGTCTTGGTGTTTAATAAACATAATAAGAGGAAATTAAATTACAGGCAAAGTACTGCAAGAGTAAAAAATATATTTCTAGAATAGAAAAATTGCAAATGAAACTATTAGAAACATACTAAAAATACTATACGAATTGTAGTATATTGGTATTTTCTATAGAATGAGAAATAAATAAGTGAATAATTAAACTATGAGCTCTACTTGGTTGACATTTGAAAGCACATATTACAAATTGCTCTGATAAAAGTGTAATGTTTGTTTTACAATTTCAAAAGCTGGCTGATCTAAATCAATAATGTTCTTCTAGTCATGTATTCATGTAGAAAGCACCTCTGGCCTCACTTTTAAGCACAAAGTATCACGTAACATTCACTGAAACCGTTTCCAGAAGCCGTCTCTGCATGCAGCTCGCTGCATCTCCTCCAAATCAAAGTCGACCACTGAGCTGCAGCCGACATGTGGTTTTATCAGCCAGCATCCATCATTGCTAAATGACGGCTAATGTCTCTCGAAATCATTACAGCCTGTTATTTCTGTCCCTGTGAAGTCAATAAGCCAGCCATTAAGGCCAGGGGTCCCTGCTGGACTCAATCTTGTTATCTGACTTTTAACATCCAGCGGGTTGTTTTCATCCTCTCCATTTCACTAACATGTAATGATCTTCCTGTCCTTCTCTCTCTCCTCTGCCTATAAATTCTTCCTTCTATCGTCTCTCTCAGGAAAAGGAGATCATGAAGGAGATTATGGATAATGGCCCTGTGCAAGGTAAGGCAAAGTTAATATGTTAGTGTCAACATTTGCTCCCAAGTGAGTGTTATTTTAAAAAAACGAAACAATAATATACTTCCAAGGGACACATAAATTCAAACACAGCCTCATGTTAGGTATCCGACCTGGGATGATGTCATGTTTGACCTTGTCATCGTGATGGTTTTGTCCTATGTTTCAACTTTGACCCCCAGTCACCTGGTCAGAAATAATGGGCCTTCATGTCAGTGTGGTTGAACTGACCTTCCTTTACTAGCCCGACTCACTGTCTGGTGCCCATCTGGAACATTGTCAAGTACACTTGAATAGAGGAGTCGTGTGTGTGTGTGTGTGTGTGTGTGGGTGTGTGTGTGTTATTCTCTATGAGCCTGTGCCAGCTTCTTGTTTTATTGTTTAGCAGTCCAAGAAAACTTATTGGCTTCGTGTCAAGTTTCCTTTTTGCCTTTGAGCTTCTCTTTGATACAAAGGCCTAGAAGTGTGTGTGTGTGTGTGTGTGTGTGTGTACTCGCGCATTGTGCGAGTTGTTTATAAATGAGGAGTCCACACACTGTTCTCAGCTACAGACCATTGGATTTAGTGCATGTGGCCCTTCAAAAGAGTGAATGTCTCAACTGTACATCCGAGAGTTTTTTCTATTGAGCTGGAATAAGAAAATTAAGCTGTGCAGCTCCCACACCCACACACACACACACACACTGCTGCCCTGTCTGATGTCTGGGTGTGTGTGACTCAGGAGGGAAATTGGAATTTGTTTGAAATTAGGTAATTGCTTAGAGATTAATTGTTGTTTGAATAAGATGTTGATCTTTCCCTTCAATAATGGGTTCAAGCAGCCTAAATAGTCATATTGCCTGTGTGTGTGTGTGTGTGTGTGTGTGTGTGGGTGTGTGTGTGCGCATGTGTTTTATCCACCAACTCATTTTCCCTGCTCGTTTGTTCTTGCAGCTATTATGGAGGTCCATGAGGACTTCTTTGTCTATAAGAATGGGATCTATAAGCACACTGATGTCAGCTTCACCAAACCTCCACAATACCGCAAACACGGCACACACTCAATCAGGATCACTGGGTAAGTTACCATACAGTGCAAAACATTGTTTGTTTCATTTCCCCTCTCGATTCCAGTCACCATGTGTCTGGTTTCACTGTTGCTACATGTTCAACTGATGCCATTTCAGCAGAAACAAATGTTTATTTAAGACAAATCAGGTTTCAATTGAGTAGCTGCCTGATTCACAGCTTCACCTGCATGTGTGTTTGCACACAGCCGAGAGTGTACGCGTCAACAAGCTTCCCTCTGGGAGACACACCTTGGCTCCACTCCTCCGTCTGCCCCAGACAAGCCCCCCCCCCCCCCCGCCTCATCCTGCTCCTCTATCTAGTAACTACGTATTTGTGTACAGGACCACAAATATGTAGGCGGGTAGACAGCCGACACACCTGGATTACCTGCCCCCACCCTTCTGTCTCTCGTTATTCCCCCGTCCTCCTGGCTCTCCTGCCACATCTCTGTGGTGTCTCCAACATCACTCCTCAGCTGACCATCTGACCCATTGACCGTCCTGCTTCCTCTCTTTCTCTCCTCTCCACATCCAATCCAAAACACTCTCGTTATCATTTCGACTGTCCGCAGACAGACAGGTAGTATTTCACTGCTCTTTGTATCTGTGGTTTGGATAGCAGTGGGTGGTTTTGACCCGTAAAGAGTCATCCAGCTGGTTCCAAATGACAAAAATGAGCAGCTACCTCGTAATGGGGGGTCTAACGGTGGCTAAGGAATGTGTGTTTGGGAGCAGTTGACTGTACCACAGAGTCTGAGCTTGCCACGAACATCAGTTTCTACAGACATGGCATCTCGGCTACGATAAAAACAGTCTCTCTGCTTTTATCTACTTGGCCATTGGTGAAGACAAAATACAACCTGTTTTCAAGCAGCTTTTCATGTGCGTGTTAATGACATTTCATTTTATGACATCATATAGCATGTAAAGGTATGTGTATGATAAACACTCCAACCTGTACTTAGCTTGTACTTCATACTTCACAAGCATGCAATGTTTCTGAAATTACATCTCTACAGCATGTCAATAAACTGTGGAGGTATGCATTGTGTGAAATGATGCTGCGGATGAGGATGTGGATTCCCACCTTTCCTGAATACCTCCTGCTTTTTGGCTCCTTCTACTCACGCTGTGATTCCCCACCACTCACTTGGTCAGTGGATGTGGACGTAGCAGCGACACGGGTTTAGGGACGGAATGAGGGCGGGCGGAACATAGTGTTTTGAGCTCCAACCTGCCAGCTACAGGCATCAGTGTGTTTTCATAGGCCAAATCCCGTAGCGGTGCGTTCCTTTAAGCCCAGGGCCTGGGAAAGTTTGTGGAAAGAGCATTGAGGTCCACTGTGGTGGAAAGGGCATTGTCTGGGCCGCTGATCCTGACCGCACCGGACAGAGAGAGGGGATCAATCCTCGGAGAAGAGGTCAGAGGTGGGTTGAGGGGCGTTGGGGAAGGGCGGGGCACATGGGCACAGCGGTATGCCCATCGTTGTCCCAGCATGAGCAAGTGAGCTGATTGGAGGCCAGATAAGTGATCAGCAGTGGTCCGATTCTGTCTGGCTCTGTCCATACCAATAAATATACAGGCAGGCATGCATGTGGGATCACACACACACACATATAGGTGTGAATGCGCCCTTACTCACAAGCACAAATCCCATCTCTCCAATCTGGTTCAGATTGTAGTTTGCATCTTTGTTAACAAAGCTGTTTTTAATGTGTCTGCGTTTGGTCAATGTGACTTCTGACTGTAATCAGGAAAACACTGCATACATAGATATACTCACTGATAGAAGGTTGGCACCATCTGCCTGTGTTGTGGTGGCAGGTTACTGAGTTTGTAGAGCCAGAAGCCAGCTGCTCTTTTTCCCAGCAATCCTTTCCCTTATGAAAGATAACAAGTGATTGGTCTCTGGGGAAACGAAAGGCCTGGAGTGCAAAAACAGGATGGGAATTTGCTTTGGGAGAATGTTTTGATCATGAGGAGCAGCAATGCAAGCGTATAAAAGTTGGCAATGGCTATAAGAGCAAAGTGCAAGGTATGATGGGAATGTATGGGCCTTTCGCCAAGGTTTCCTGAGAACAATGCTGCTAGCAAGGAAGAAGGTTAAAAATAGGCCTTGAAGTTCAGATTCACATATGTATATTTGGGCATTTTTTATGTCGTTGGTGTTGTTGTCTGTGACGTGACTGAGGCGGCGTTCATGTCCTCGTAACCTTCCCTGTCCTTCCTGTTTCATGTCCGGTGTACGGAAATGGCGAAGGAAAAGGGGATTCCGTGTTCTTTGGCTTGGAATGATGTAGGAGTGCAACTAGGCGGTGTCCAGGCATAAATACTCTGTTTTCAGGATGTTGTTCTAAGTTAACACATTCCTGAGAAGCATTTCAACTCTGACACTGCTGATTTTATATCTGTATTTAAGGATAAGTTGTTTTCCTGTTTTTTTGGCTCTAATGCATTTTGAGTAACCGTCCCCTCTGCTTTGTGCACCAGGTGGGGCGAAGAGAGAAACTTTGATGGTACATCAAAAAAATATTGGGTAAGTCATTGTGCAAAATATACCCATGCCCAAATGAGCCCTTAATTGTCTCAAATATTTTACTATTTCTTATGTAAAATATAAAGGGACTGTTTAACTTCACTAAATTTGACGATTGATTTTTCAGATTGCTGCCAACTCCTGGGGAAAGAACTGGGGAGAGAACGGCTACTTCCGTATCGCTCGTGGGGACAATGAGTGTGAGATTGAAACGTTTGTGATTGGTGTGTGGGGCAGAATCACGATGGAGGACATGCACAGCCATCATCACCAACATCGTCGCCGGCACATTTAGAGACACGATGTTAAAACCCTTACAGAGACCTTTTGTTTTTAATCCCACCTATTGATGTTTTTCACCCCAGAGAAGAACCACACCAAGAGTCTCAGAACTTCAGCACATCCCCTTACGCATCAAGTTGGCTGGGACAGCCTCAAAATCAACCCCAGAGCCCCTTAACCCTCTCATTTTATACCTTACTTCACTCTGGGGATCCACACAACCCCTCTTCTCATCCATCTTTACCCTGTTTAAGAGAACAGCCTTCCCCACTCTTCCTGTAACTCAAGGTTTATGGCACCAAAACAACAAAGAAACTCAACTAAGCTGACGCTCTTTTGCGTCGCCTTACACTTAGGCACCTCAGGTACCTACTGATCCAAAGACCACACTTCCCAGAATCCTCAACGTAATATCTGGTGAGACATGTCAAAGCTGGGTGATGACAAAAGCAAAAGCTCAGTCTGATCTGTTTATTCTTCTTTGCGCTTCTTTGTCCATCTGAAACCTCGGTCTTTTCTAAATCTATAATCTAGACAGACCCAATTTCAGACGGACAGTTTGAAAAAGAGGATATCCGAGAGGCAGATAATCAGACATCAGACCCTTTCAAAGAGACACACCCAGCTGAACTGTGTAACATGATAATACATCATAGATGACCTCACTGACATTTACTTACTGTCAGTTATACCGAGTTCACAGTACGGCTAATTCCCTCAGTTTTAGAGAGGACACTTAAATGGAGTTAATAGCTGTGGAGTTTCTCACATATTCCAGTAAACTTGTAGAATCTGACACTAGAAACAGTAGAAGATTTCATGTGGAGTATTAAGATTACAAAAACTCGGATTTGGGATTTTAAGAGGTTTTACAGCAACAGTACTGGACATTTTAAAGCAATTCAATAATGAATTAAATTAAATCTTAGCCCTTGAGATTAGATAAGATTAAACATGTATCATTTGGCTGTAGGTGAAATAAATAATTTAAGTAAAACTTAATAAGAAAAGTCACCACTGACAATGAACATATACATAAAAGCCATGCTGCCATTCTTGACACCACAATCCCATTTAAAAGATGAATCCCTGATGCGTTAAACAGAGAGCTTTTGACCACTGCGAAAGACAGTGTTAGTGTATAGTAGTCTTAATTAGCTCCGTTCTGTGTACACTGTTACAACATGAGCTAAAGAAAGTTATTTTTTTGTTGCAGTTATGTTGTGAAGTTTTATTTTACTACTTGTTTTTACGATGTACTGTATGTATTAACTTTCATTACGCGCTCATCACTCAGTCGCTGTTGTTCTTGAGCTTCTACATAGTTGTAACTGTTTGACCACAGCGAGGAGGATGAGGTGGGGGGGGGGGGGTACTGCTGCTAAAGTCCGGTCTGTGCTTCATGTTTTCACTGCAGAGTCTGTAGTTTGATGCTTTTCATACGTAATAAACATGTAAAGCCACTTCTAACTAACGCAGAAACACTTCAAGTCACACAGGTTGCATATGAGCTGTTTGGCTTTATATTCTCATTTTCATTTTTAGTGTTTGTATGAAAACTTAACACCTTCCAACTTATCAGCCGTGTGACTTTCTTTGCTACACTGCTTTGTGACGTCTTAATTTCAGGCTAATTGAGGAATTTTCAGATCTTTCTGGAGCACATCCTCACTTGAAAAGGAAAGAATGGTGTATTATTACCACTTACCTTACATCCTGGTGTGCTTTAGCTGTAACTTCAAAAGGCTTTTTCCATTTCTATATCATCACGTCTTGTGATCTTTAAGGTCCTTCTATCATCTTCTTCAGGCATGGGTAAGCAGAAAGGCATAAAAGCAAAGAGAAATGTCTGGATGGACAGGCAATGTGCAATGTGGTGGATAGATAAGCAGTTCGTTGCATGTTTTCTCATGCAAAATCTTTGCTTTTATTCTGAAGTGAGCGAGGGCAGTGGAAGATGAAGAGCAGCCCATCAACATGAGATGCACAACAGGTTTACAATAAAGACGAGAAGGACAATTTGAAACTGAGCTCTTTGGCCTGAAGAGTGATTATGTCAATCTTCTGTCAGCAGAAAGAAGGAGATTCTTCTTTTCTATATTTTCATATATCTGTGGGCATGTTGCTATAGCTCCTTTACAAGAGAGACAAATACGGACAAAACTAACATTGTTAGATTGGTTTGCGTCACTGTTTTGCAATCCTCATTGAAAGTACAGAGTTTACTCGCGTTTTGTTTCATTACAATTTATTTCCACCAGATGTTGGGTAATCTTTAATATTTATTTATCGAAGATATTCCATGCCCTCTTCAAGGGCAGCACCAACATTGGATAAGTGAGTTCTGTACTTGGTGTGTATCAGTGGGCTGAGAAAGGTTACTGTTTTCATGCTGAAGGAAGTATTGGAATCATTTAGTTTCCATTGAGTAGATGCATTTGATTGTCAGTCTCCATCTATTTAGCTGACAGTGAGTTGCATTAACAGTCATTCAGGTTTATTGTTAGCTTGGACCTAAATGATGATACTGAATGTTTAGAAGAGGGCTTACCAAAACTCTTATAACATTCTCAAATAAATGTGCACGAACATGCGTTACTTAAATTATGATTATATATTTTTCAGATGGGACCAATAATAACTATATCATTAAAGCTCAAAACTCAAATTTATTCCATAGAAACGTGTCTTACTTTCAGCAACAGTTTTCTCCAGCACAACCTCTCCTCATAATAACAACAACAACCCAGGAGCTGCAGCAGACATCCACTCAGAAGTTGTGTATTTTATGTAAAATGAACCACTCCATATTCACTGATGTGTAGGCTTTATTTATGACAAGATGTGTAAATTATATACTGTACTTTTACTCCTTGTTTTCCTGTGCAATGTTTTATTATCTCTCTGTCTCTTGTTTTGTGTGCACTAAATGCAATACCACATTAGTATTCACTTGTGCGGCACAATAAAGTCTTTCCAAAACCACATGGTCTCATTGTGAACTTGGACTTGTTGCATCATTGAAGTATTTAAACAAGCTGATGTGATCCAGAAGAATGCCTTGTATAGTCTGCGTGTATGCAGGTTGGATGGTTGAGAAGGTGTATGATTTTTAGGAACATTAGGGATCTGTGAGCCACAATGAGAGGGACTTGGTGAAGGGAGTTCAGGGGGGAAGCTCCATGGGACGAGACTGGGTGGGATGAGGACAGTTTTTTTAAGATCCTGCTGTATCAGCAGACTCTCCCATCAGTGAGAGCAATAACTCTGACCATCAGTCAGTGAAAGACAAGGCCAAAGAGTAGGCATAATCCTTCATAAATTGTAAGAATTAGACAATAATAATGACTATAAAACAAATATATAATAAAATAATAATTAAGTACATAAATATATATATTTTTTTCATGACATGGCTAGAACAATCCCCCGAAACATAACAAATTTGAATATTTGTTTAATTTGGATGTGCGAACTCTGTCTTAAAAGCCTAGAAAAGATGGATTATTGATTTAGTGTTTACTCTTATTCCTCCAGTAAATGTTTGTGTCTGGGATTTATGAGCTTAGACAATGAGGAAGATCTGATTGTGAAAGGTGTTAGAGTTGTTTTTCAAGATTCACAGGCTTTTTATTTTGTATATTGAAAATATACAGTATGCGCAGCACTCGTGATCTGGCTTCAATGACTTTGTGATATGATGCTGCCTTTGCGTAGTTGTACAGTATGAATGACTATGACTACAACAATACACAGGCAGACAAACAGGCATGTGACAACTGCAACTGTCTCTTGTCTCTGTGCTTGTGTATACATTTTTGATTAAAAGACAAATTCCTTCTGTATGTGCTTTTTCCTCTAAGCTCAATTTCATAGAAGATCAAAACAAAATGAAGATTGATTGTAAAAATAAATTATTAAACTCTATAAAAAGAATGCAATCTTCACTCAGAACACAGTTTTTTAATAAGAAAATCCCCACATTTTCCTCCTTGTTTTGGTATGTAAGTGTGTTTAGCATGTCTGTCCCATATAAACATCTGGGTGAACATCTGCCTCAGAGAGGGACAGTGTTCTAACCTGGGGGGAGGACACCCTCCTCTTTGAAGTGAGATAAATTGCAGGTCTGTAAAATTAGCCCTATTAAGCAAACGGTCAGCAGGTTCTGTCAGTGAAAGCTACCAGGTGTTATCACCGACTCCATGTTCAACACTTTGGCTCATTGAGGGGTGAGCAGACCTGCTGTGTCCACCACAGACGCCTTGGAGGGGTGACCTTAACCTTGCATTCCTGCGTCCAATCTCTCACCGATGAAACTTTTCAATGAGATTTAGAGTACATGCATTGCCCACTTTTACTTACAACATGTAAGTGCACATGTGGCCAGTTTTTGTTGCTAACACGTGAGCGATTTTAAAAGAAGAAATCTCTCTTGTTGCAATATTTTACAAGTTTATATTCAGTCTTGAAAATGCTTTCCAATACTTTTGAAGATAATTTTGCAATGGGATTTTCTGAGCTGATGAAAAGACCTGGACCTTGACCTGGAAACTAATACTTTTCAATCTTTTACTATAATCCCTGACAAAAACACACTTGTATAAACTACCCCAGTGTTAAACATTTACAATGAATGCTCACAATTCAATTTGTGCGTGAAGGGACAGATGAATGAAAATACCCCATCATCACTTCATCAATTTTTAAAACCTCCCATTGTAGTTCTGCAGTATATTAATATTATTAATCATTTAGTCGATTGGCTAAAACGTGAACATTTGCCAAGTTATCCCACGGGCTATGAAGACCTGGCCTCAGTGAAAGCTTTAAAGTGGGGTTATGAAAGAATCTAGAGAAAAGCACAATATTACAGAGCTTATCTCTTCACAGCAGCCACAGGGACCAAGTATGGAAACTTGGATCAAGGGATCTGTCCAGTGACTGTTTACATTTCTTTCATTGTTTCTGCGTCACCGGGTAGCCAAAGCATTCATTACCCCAGCAGCTCCTGCTCCTCTCCTCCCAGCTGATGGTGTTGAATGGACGAGTGCCAAGAAAAAGGAGGAAGCAGTTATTAAAGACAGAGGCAGGGGAACAATCCGTGGCTGGAGACCCCACCCTGGTTCCCCCCGGTCCAGGAACATGATCTTCTTCTCAGGTTGAGCTTTCTGTACTGTAGCCTGTTCTGCACACACATGCAGACAAAAACATCCCTTTTCCATGTGCTGCCTGTACTTGAGTGTACTATGGGGATGTCAACAAACATATTGTGGAAGATCATGCTTGGCTGCCAGAGGCAAACGCCCTTTTCCCATAAACAACAACCTAATAAAAAACATACGTAATTTGGGGGAATCCTTGTCTCAACGAAGTACTGAAGCGGAAGCAAATCAAATAGCTTCAGGGGGAATCCTGAGACAAACTCATGCATTGTGTTCCTTTGAGGTATTGTTCTTGGCTGTGTATTTCAACATTACATACCTTCCCACAATATAGTACACCTATTACTATGAAGCATTTCCTGAAATGGCTTCGGCCCTCTGTGACACTGAATTTGCTCCAATGACTGTAGATGAATGATCCATGATTCTCAACAGCCTGCAGTCTTATCTTATATTTGATCCTGATTCAAGCTGTAATGCCCACACTCCCTGATCAAATCTAAGTACTTTTAGTGGAGTGGCTTAGTGCTGCCATCTTCTGGCGGCCTTTCAGTACAGCTGATAAAAATCACACTAACGTTTGAGGATCAGCTTTATTGAATTTGCCAAATTACAGTAAGAATACCAATATCTTGTCACAATAATTAGACTCATGGTTAGGTTTATTTAGTTCCTCTTTGCAATCACCATTAGACTAGTCATGACTATAACTAATAATAAATCCATATTGCAAGAATATGACTTTTAGAAAACATGTTTAGTTGACAGTCAAAGGCCTCCAGGAGCAGCATCTAACGTCATCTCCTCAGTAGATCAGTCATTGCTGCCTTCTGTGTGTCCTCAATCCAAAGTGGCATTGTTCTCTTGTTTTTTCAAACAAACTCTCTCCCTCTAGCGTGGGCCATTTCCTCTCCTGCATTCACACATTCTGTAGGCACATATGTAGAAAATACCTGCAACAGACAGAGCCAAAGTCTTTGGTGATGTAGAGATAACACAATTTCATTCAATGGGTCAACTAACAAGTGTTAATCAATCTGGCTTTGGATATATATATATATATATATACAGTATATATATGCATTAACATATTTTTCATACAGTGTCAATGGGATTAGATATGATCTCAAAATATGCAGAAAAAAAGTTTGTTAGTAACTTCTGTGGTTATTGCTTCTTCTGAGCTCTTTGACATCTGTCAATAATAATGTGGTTTATGTCTGGAGAAAGATTGACCCCCAGCATTTGTCCTTTCTCACCTGCAAAGAAGTTCATGAGCATGGCTACCCAGCCCAGTATGTAGGACCAGGAGAAGCGCCAGTCACCGAAGCGCCTCCCCAGGAAGTTGACTGTCACTCCAGTATAAATGGCCATACCCAACAGAACAAAGAAAGCTAAGAGGGGGGACAGGGAGGTACATGTCAGTTATGATTAAGTTAAAGTTAAGTGTATGTGCGTCAAATCAGAGGAAAAAAAGACTCACTGGAGACAAAAAACATGATTCCTGCAGCAAAGGAGCGGTTGAACCTTTCAAAGGAGGAGAAGTGAGAGAAGGACATAATGCCAGCGATGATGCCTGCAAAGCACGACATCCCTGAGAGGATCATGAAGGCCCTGGTGGCATTCCAGTAAGCTGGAAGGAAGCAGGTATAGAAATCATCAGACATGTCATCATTATACAGGTATTATTAAACATATAATAGACCTTTAAATCCAAATAAGAGACCCATGAGATGGAGCAGTATATGGCATCAGATAGCATTTCTCACACTTTAAAAAAAGGCATGTCTCGTGCATTACCAGGTGCTCAACAATATACAGACTTTGAAATAGTTTGCAGGGGGTTCAAGGTTTTGAAAGACATTCTAATTGTCCTTACCTATGCTGTCAGTCTGCATGTAGCACTTGTTGGACATGCAGTACCTCCACAGACCCTGGTGGGCATAGTTTCCAGACATGCGGTACTGCATCCAGTAGTCAGTTGCAGTGGAGACCACCAAAAGGATATTACCAACAATAGCACAGAACAGGCCCCCTCCCATGAAGCTGTACATATTGAGCTGAGATAACGGCGCCGCTGCAGAGCAACTGCAACGTAGTAAGGGAAGATCGAGGAAGGTAAGTCCAGAGTACTGCAGATATTGTAACATCATATATTGCTATTCACGTACTGCAAACAAACATTCACACATACTTACTGTATTATACTTCCTGTCAAATTTTAGACATTTGACACTTATATACACATACTACTGTCTTAAGACCTGCAACTTAATAGGTTGAATGTACAGTTGCTGAAATAAACACTGCACACATTAAAATATCCTCCCAGCATGGCTCTATAAATGTACATCAGTACTCAATATGTTCACTTATATTCTGCCAACACTTTGCAAAGGATCCATTAAAAAAGGGTTGTGATGGTGAATCTTGATTGTCCATTTGGAGATTCGTTTGAAAACCACACATGATTCCAGTCAATAATGAAGCCATTTCAACAACAAAAATATTAAACAAACATCAAAACAGAAAAAAAATATTTCATATACGAGCATGTAACAAGCACATTTACAGTTGCTTGAACCCCCTAATTTGTAAATAGCATACTCAACAAACTCTTAATCAAACATGCATTATTTACCTCTTCTTTAGTGGAACCATCACTATTAGTTGAACAGACGCAAAGCTAAACCACAGTGAAAGCTATGATGTTGCAGTTTGTTGTTGTTGTTTCCCTTCCCAATCCTCATGTCACACCAGTGATTGTTCAGCTGTAATGAGGTTTGATCTGATTCTGCCAGCCTCTGTCCAATCACTGTCATCATATGTGAAAATGTATTGCTCTAGGATACACACAAAAAAACACCCTGCAATTTGATCACTTGCCTTTTTTTCTGGAAATGCACCCTCTCTACTGCCCACCTTTCTGAGGTAAAGATAGAAATGGGTGGAGGGGAAAAGAGAGAGGGAGAGCTGTTGCTCACTTTGGGGGAAAGAGAGAGAGTCACAGACAATACTACAACCAAAAAGTTGCCCCCTCGTTTTTCTGTCGATGAAAGCAGAATGCTTTCCGCAATTAGTCTCCCTGTGTGGGATGCACTTGAATGAAACACCGTAGGGGTCACAGTGCATGTGACCCTGTACATTTGAGTGCGTGTCTGTGTGGTGTTTGTGAGGAAAAGGGGTGGTGGTCCATGTTTCTTTTATTTTTTTGTAAATGGTGTGCTCTAGAATTGGGGATATGCATAGGTATGCAGGACTGTCTGTGTCAATGCAACATGCTGAAACACACACTTTTCTTTCAGTGCTGTCACACAGTGGCAGTGTGGAGGGACACATATAGAGGGAGCACTCTATAGTGGCAGTGTCTCTCCCAACTCTACTTTAGGATTGTCTTAATTAAGATCAAATACAATATAATATATATATATATATATATCCTGAGATGAACTTTACGGACTATAGCGCTTGAAATTAATATCTAGATGGTAAAAAGTCTCTCTCTCTCTCTCTCTCTCTCTCTCTCTCTCTCTCTCTCTCTCTCTCTCTCTCTTTTTGTCTATCTACCACAAACACTCAATCACAATAAGTAAAATGTTGTCTTCAAAAGACAAAAGATTAGCATACGAAACATGACATACTACGGACATTTAGCTTCCAAAAATTCAAGGTCATTACCATAATTTAAACAGATGCAGACACAGAATGATGTAATACTTGTCACAAAGCAACTGATCAAAATGTAAAAAGAGGACATTTTGTCTCCTCTGATTCAGTAAAAGCTGTGAGCGTGGAAATGACAGATCAACACTGGATATTAATCATATGCCCTAAATTGGATATTCAAGTCGTAACTTAGCATGACAGAATGCTTATTGCATTTTTAAATCTCAAACCTTGGAGTGAACATATGCTCTGATTCCTGATTGCCGAGCATATAATACTTTTAATTAGTTTTAATTCACATTATTCTCATACATAAAATAAATGGTAAAATCACATTTTACCATTTAGATCTGTTGCTCTTCCTGAGCCCCCCCCCCACACACACACACATGAAAGGGTTTTTAGGGTTAAGGTTATTTATCGGTAGGTTGTTTATTCTTGTCTGAATTGAGGATAGTAGTTGTTGTATGCTGTACAGATTGTAAAGTTCCATGGCAAATTTGTGATATTGGGCTATATAAGTAAAATTGACTTCACTTTACTTTGAGGCCTCAAGTAATGATTATTTTCCTCATCGATTAATCTGTCAATTACATTTTTGATTAAGTAATTAATCAAAAAATGATTCTATTAAATTCTGAAAATGGACATCACAATATTCAAGACCACCTGATCATGATCGCCTGACATGATCTAACAGGTGGCTTCTTTATAAAACATTACATAACACTGTATCAACAAAATATAATTCAGGAAGAAAACACATTTTCCGTCTCGTGCTTGAGATGACCAGGCAGCAGACATGAGCACTCCTAAGATTCGTTCTGGAAAAAGGGTTTGACCTTTTATGACCCGGAAGCTGACGCCAGACCCGAGCTGTTCCATCGGCGGAATAAAGATGGCTGACCAAGGCGCCGCAGATCCTGGTAATAACAACAATAATAAACCTGAATCATCGGAGGGAACTATTATTAAGGTCACAGTAAAAACCCCTAAAGACAAAGAAGAAATCGCCATCGCAGAAGATGCGTCTGTCACTCAGGTTTGTCAATTTTCGCATGTGGGGAGCTGCTTGTGCGGTTCAGCTCTAACGTCATGCCCCTGCCCACAACTTCAGCTAGGAAGCTAGTTAGCCGTGGTAGCATTCGTCGTCACTCTTACCGGCTAACTGATAGTGTGTGAAATCAAAGAGGTTGTGTGTAGTGGAAGTATTACTGCTTGGTTAAACCACTGGTCGGTGTTATTAACGTTATTAAGATCTAAAAGAGAGATGGAACCACGTTAATACTTGAAATGGCTAACCGGCTAGCCAGCTAACGGTTAACAGTTAGCTAGCTTAGTTAGCTAACTCTGCTTTGCAAGCTAAGCCAACGTTAGCTGACTAAACTGTAGCCAAACAAGTGTCAGCTGACAAGTTGCGTTCAAGCAATAATGGCCTGGAACCATGGAAGTGGTTTTGGATCTAGGATGTGTTGAATCGCTTTCATTTCCTATTTCAGCTCGAGAGCGTTGAAAGATGCTAAAGCTCGCTATCACTCTAGAACATTCTCACTGCTGCCACTGAGTCATTCAGCTTTCTGGGGAATATACAGGATCCCCAGAGCTAGTGTTGGCTTGGCGACGTGTTGCAGTGAAACCATGCAATCCATGTAGGTTCATGTGGTAGCCATTTTTGTCTGGCTGTGTGTGTTTCATGGTTATATATTTACATGCGTTTCATGTTGAAACATTGGACTTAGATCCCTCACTTCCAAGTGTGTGTTGCCATCTTTATCTAACGTTACATGTGACTTTATGTTTTCATATACATAATATATTTTGCATTATCTGAGACGCACATTATGTTTACTGTGCTGTGAAATTGTTAAAGATGAGGACTTATGCGAATAATGGCATTCTTTGTTCTCTGTACTTGGATCTTTATCAGCTGCTACAAAGTGGGTGCTAGTCGTTCAAATGTTCACACAAAATAAAAATAACAGTAAACCTCTGTTAACAATTACATATCAATGGTGCCACAGAGACAACAATTAAAAAAGTCCTGAACAGCTTCAACTAATTCAAAGATAAGAACACTAATGTGACATTTATCCTCTTCTGTTTAAGTGAATTTTGAAAGATATTTTACTGTTGATCTTGTGTTGGTGGGTGGATCTATCCTATCTGTTTCAGCTATAGTCAAAGAGTCAATAGTCAAAGAGTAACTGTGATTTGGCAGATTTGGAGTGTTTAGACCACTGCTAATAGGATAAGTATAGAGGACTTTCTTAGAAATTGGAATTTAAGGCCTGAAGGTTGCAACAGAACATAATGAGATTCGAGCAGCTCTGACATTGAACCATCTTATTCTTTATATTATCCGTTTCATTTCCTTTTTCTTTCTCACCTTCTTTCACTCCTGTCCCATTTTTTGATCTAATCTCTGTTCATTTCTTGCCATTCTTTTAGTTTAAAGAAGAGATCTCGAGGCGGTTCAAAGCCAAACAGGACCAGTTGGTTCTGATTTTTGCAGGGAAGATCTTGAAGGACGGCGATAGCCTCAGCCAACACGGCATCAAGGATGGACTGACGGTTCACCTGGTCATAAAGACAGCGCACAAGTACGGCTAAATTATCATCAAGCAAATTTGTGTTTAACTGTGTCAATAATGTGTCAATACTATCAGCTCACACAAGTACTGACTTTCTCATACACCTACAAATGATCTCTGTAGGGCAGGAGATGGCGGTAGCACCTCAGCCTCCAGCTCAACCTCCACTCAAGCAGGCAATACCTCCACCTCTAGTCCAGGTACAACCCCCTCCTCCACAGCAGGCTCCACTGGCACTGCCGCACCACCCACACAGACGCCCAACATACTGAGTGAGTCCACCTGTGTGTAAACATTTACATTCAAACACCCATTATTAGTTCAGCTCACAAAGATAATGTTTGTTACCATAACAAACCCATCTGGCATCCCTCAGCTGGCTTCGGTGACCTGGGCGGTCTGGCTGGACTGGGCATGGGCTCGGCTAACTTCATGGAGCTGCAGCAGCAGATGCAGAGGCAGCTCATGTCCAACCCAGAGATGCTGTCTCAGATCATGGAGAACCCGTTGGTGCAGAACATGATGTCCAACCCAGACCTGATGAGACAGATGATCATGGCCAACCCTCAGATGCAACAGCTAATGGAACGCAACCCTGAGATCTCCCACATGCTCAACAACCCCGAGCTTATGAGACAGGTAAAGGAAATGGAGAGGGGCTGAATGGCACTTAGATAGTGGACACTTGCATGACTACAGTAGTTTCCCACTGCATTTTGCGCTGTTTATTTAGGTTTTTACTTCCTTTGTTTAAAGTGAACTACAACTGACTTGCATCCCCTCTCCTTTTATCTCAACTCCCAGACCATGGAGCTCGCCAGGAACCCGGCCATGATGCAGGAAATGATGCGAAACCAGGACCGGGCTCTGAGCAACTTGGAGAGCATCCCAGGAGGTTACAATGCCTTGCGGAGGATGTACACAGACATCCAGGAACCCATGTTCAGCGCTGCCAGGGAACAGGTATCTGGGAGGGATTGTTCCTGATCAAATCTTTGTTTTTTTGCGCTGTGTTAATCCTCTTTGTCTGGCTTTACTTGCCATCTTTATGTGGCTAGCTATATTTCGACTGTTTTGCGTTTTCAAATGTGTCCAATCTCGTTCTCTGTAGTTTGGTAGCAACCCATTCTCAGCTCTAGGTGGGAACTCTGAGTCTGGTGCGCAGCCATCACGGACAGAGAACCGGGAGCCACTGCCCAATCCATGGGGCGCACCAAATTCCTCTAACCCCTCTGAGAGTGGTGGGGCCCCCACAGGAAGCACGACCACCACTGGAGGCACCAACCCCAGTGTGTCCAACCCTCTGGGCATCAATCCTGGCAGTCTGGGCAATGGTAAGACGGGACAGGTTGTGGTTCTCAATACGCCTCTTCGCTAAGTAGTTTAATTACTCAGCTATATATGCATATACATGAATAAACTCCTTTCTTTTCTGTGTGTTGCAGGGATGTTTAACAGCCCGGGCATGCAGAGTTTACTGCAGCAGATCTCGGAAAACCCTCAGCTGATGCAGAACATGCTGTCTGCTCCATACATGCGCAGTATGATGCAGTCACTGTCTCAAAACCCCGAGTTGGCCTCCCAGGTATGAAAAAGAAAGATGTGCGCACACAAACGCAGATACTGTTCATACACACCCACTGTACAGAAAACACAGATGTAGTCATATTAAAGTACAAATATTAAAGTACAAATATTAAAGTAAAAATATTAAAGTACAAATCCTGGTTATTTAGATTCAAAGCTTGCTTCAGAACTCATTGTTATTCAGATTGTGTACCACATATTGAATTGATTTATTTTGTTGAACTCTGCAGTCTGTAATGAAACGTCAATAGGGTCTAGCCTGGTGTGCATTAGGCAAATAAGCCCAGCTAGTTAAGACATACTCAACAGAGGGGATTGTCTGTTAAGCTCATTTGCAGCAAACTGTAAGAAAGAATTAACAACACACAGCTCTGACTTCTTGGGTTCTAACAAACAATGCTGTCTCTACACCAAACCAGAAAATCCTTACAGTGGAGTGCTGCACACACAGTGGCATGAAATACGGGGAACACTAGTGCTTTTATTTTTGTTATTCCAACGGCTAAGGTGCTGATACATAAACAATTTAAACATCAACTCATATGTGGAATGACACATTACCTTAACTGTCTTTGTCTCTCTCTCTCTCTCTCTCTCTGTAACAGGTTTTGATGAATAACCCCTTGTTTGCTGGAAACCCACAGCTGCAAGACCAGTTCAGATCTCAGTTGCCCATTTTTCTGCAGCAGGTACCACACGCATTTTAGTCGGATAACTCAGTCCTGTGTCTTTATTTTCCCCAGTAAGACACAATGACAGAAATACAGAACGGCACTGATTGGCCCATAGGGTGCCATATACTCCATTAACAAGCTTTGGTATAGGTCATCTGAAACTTGGCACAGATATTTATCTGCACATGCTGAACATTTTTCCCTCGGGAATTATAGATATTGGCCATGTGTTTTTGTTAAGATTTGACCAGTTAAGAATTGTTTTTCTTTTGATGAGCCGCAAGTCATTTTCTCATAAACGTGGATCAAAATTCCATCCAGACAGTTGGCAAGCATTTGGCTTATGTGTGCCCTTCTTTTCTTTAGCTGCAGTAAATGGACTGCCCGGTTGAAAGTTTGGTAAAGTCATTGCTACACTCTCTGTTTGGTTACAGATGCAGAACCCAGAATCCCTGTCAGTGATGACCAATCCCCGCGCCATGCAAGCTCTAATGCAGATCCAACAGGGTCTACAGACACTGCAGACAGAAGCACCAGGCCTTATGCCCAGGTATGCTCGAACAGACACATATACACATATTGCTTTTTCTGGTACATTTTTTCCAACTCTGTTGTTTCTTTTGGCCTAGTTTGATGACAGGTGGAGTTCCTGGTGGAGTTCCTGGTGGAGGTCCTGATGGAGTTCCTGGTGGAGTTCCTGGTGGAGTTCCTGGTGGAGTTCCTGGTGGTTTTCCTGGTGGTTTTCCTGCTGGTTTTCCTGCTGGTTTTCCTGCTGGTTTTCCTGGAGGTTTTCCTGGAGGTTTTCCTGGTGGAGTTCCTGGTGTAGTACCTGGTGGATCTCCTGGAGGAGTTCCAGGTGGAGTTCCTGGTGGAATTCCTGGCATACCCACAGGTGGGGGCATGCCAACAGAGAACCCGGCCTCCTCGCCAAGCAGTGCAGGAACAAATGCCGCCCAGCAGCAGCTGATGCAACAGATGCTCCAGATGTTTGCTGGAGCAGGTGGTGGAGGAGGAGGAAGTGCAACGGTACACAGATACATGCATGCATGCACGGATATTACATCTTTCACACCTGTATGAATTTTTGAATGCCATTAGTTTATTCCATTTAATTTGCCCCTGCAGAGCCAGACCCCAGAAGTGCGGTTCCAGTCCCAGTTAGATCAGCTGAGCGCCATGGGCTTCATCAACCGCGAGGCCAACCTTCAGGCCCTCATTGCTACTGGAGGAGACATCAATGCCGCTATCGAGAGACTGCTGGGCTCACAGCCCTCGTAAAGACATACAGTACATACTGACACACAGACACGTGCATACATACACACCTAACTCATAAACACACCCAGCATCTACAGAGAACCAAGAGAAATTTGAGTGTATTGTCCCAAACTTTACAGAAGACACTTGGCAGGATCTGTTAGACCCTCATTCTACATCTGTTCTGCGATCATTCCCTAGTCCCCATACTTTTTGGCGTCATCCAACCAGATCTTTGTCACAGAGTGCTGCTGTAGAGCCGGACTGAACCACTCTCATCTTGAGGGGCTTTCTGGTGCAGAGAAAGGAGCGAAAACTTCTCCTGAAAAGGGACTCCCAACCATTTCTTCATTCACCGTTTTCTTCACGTAAAACTGGAGTTGAGTGTTGCAGACATTTACATAATACAGATTAAACCCTTGTGATGTGATTGGCTGTTGGCTCTGTTTTACACATGGCCGTTGTCAGGCAGTTTGTTAGCGTTTAACTCGCAAATCAATACGTGAACATTTTCTGGTATACTGAGAGTAAACCTGAACACCAACAGGAAGACACTTTGTCTATACGTTCAACCCCATTCCTCCCTAAAACCCCGTTCTCGAGAGTCTACATAAATAGCTGTTTTTGCCCAACAACTTTCACTATTTATTGCAAGTGCTTCGTAAAAATAAATGACGCCCTCCACACTTACCGTAACTTGTAATTTGTCATTCCAGATAAAAGTGCCCACTCACGGGTGCACAGTGTCTTTTCCTTCTGAGGCACCACTGCTGTGCCTTCTGTCCTTCCCTACCCTATAAGAGCATTGTTGGCAATGACCCCCCCCCATCCAGTGGGTTAATTAGAAACCCCCAATAAATTCCACACCGCATCATCCAGGACTTTAACCATAATCAAATATCACATTGCAGCAGCTCCGAAGCAGAGGACGCTGTGAGAATGAAAATGAAACAAACAAGCAAGCTTTCATTTCCTTTTAATCTGATTCTTCTTTTTTCATTATATTTTTCTTTTTTTTTTGAGGTGCAGTTAGTACCTAGAGATCATTATGATTTGTCTCGTATAAAATAAACATTGAAATCAAGTGAGTAAAAAAAGATAAATGAATAAATAATGGAAAGGCTTTACAAACCATTACGGTGTGGTGGCACCATACATTTCTAAAGAATCAAGTTCTAGGTTGTCTTTTCTTTTTTTTCTCTTTCTTTTTTTTTTTTTGGAAAATCTCAGCATTGTAGTTGTGGTAACCATGGCAACTGCTTCTATAGCTTTGCTTTGTCTGTGACCTCAGCTGGAAGAAAGAAAATCCATCTCACAATTGAACATGTTGAAACTAACTTTTAACAGTACTGTACTAAAGAAGAATAAAACATGGTCAAAAACAGTCTACGCCCTGTGTCAGCTGATTACAGCCTCGTGGAGGAGAGAGTCGTAGCTTTCCATTCGTTAACGTCAATATAAAGTTATTCAATTCATGATCTGCTTCTGTTTGTTGTTTGATATAAAACTGTCTGTGTTTAGGTAACAAATGGTCACATTGAGAGGTAAGTGAGATGTTTATTTGCGTATGGGTAACACGTCATTTACAGAGTATCATATTTCCTAATTTCTTTCATACAAAAGAACCGATATGTCACCCTAACTTCAAATCAGGTTTCTGGAAACGATGTCAATTTGATTTACTTAGCCCAATATGGCAAATTTGCTTAAGTAGTTTTAGAATCCATACAGCATACCACAGCACCTATCCTTAGATCCTTAGACAATAGGTATCAAACACAAGGTAAGTCTAGAACATGCAAACATGTGGCTTAAATAGACAAGTTATTTTAATGGAATTTCTTCCTTAGAATTTTATCTTCACTGTAGTAAGTACTCAAACCTCTAATTAAAGGTTAGGTAATTATGTATGGACCTGTGAAATACAGTGTTACCCAATTTTGTATTGTCCTAATCAATATAACAATGACATAGTATCTTACCCTTGAGAAGAAATGACAACCCTTTACCATGTGAGGCTGCCTAAACTGAGTTTGCTGGTTGCCACGTATTCATAAAGTTTTTAGCTTGTGTTTCTCGTGTACAATCAAAATAAAAAGTTCAAATTAGTACCACTGGTGTCAAAATGTCATTATGTACTGGTAAATAGATCCACCTGTTGGGTTAGGCTTATTGTCATACCAATGAATGGATGGGTGGATTCTCTTCCTGCCAGTGGTTCTACCTGTTCCACTTGCTCTCCCCCCCCCCTCAGCCCTCCCTTGCGTGTCAGCTGACGAGGGATCGGCAGGCCTGTCCGTCTGTCCTCAGTCATGAGCTACAACCTATCCACAGATAAAGAAGAAAGCAGGTAGGAGCAGCTGAACCTGCTTTCTTTTCTCTCTGTTTCTAACCGGAGTGAGTTTGTCCTCGTATTTTCCTTGTCTTCTCTACTTTGGTAACAGATATTGAAAGTTAAAGAGGAAAGCCTTTGCCACTAAATGCAGCATGGGGTCTGATGAGGCATACAATTTTGTCTTCAAAGGTGAGTAATGTTTACTTAAGCTGTGATTACGTCTGTAGAAGTTGTAAATGATTTGTCCTCTGACCGGCTAAAGAAACAAGTTCGCTCACATTTCCTGATTTCCTTAGAGACGTTTCTGTGCTGTGTATATTTAAACCGCCTGTGATTTCTAAAGTAAAGTCAGCCTCTGTGCCACATTGATGGGATGTCGCAGTGTTTGTGTGGGTGACAGCAAGTCTACATGTGTTAGATGAGATCATTTGATATCTGATTCATCACAGGAAGTTGTAGTTTTCACCAATTAACATAGGTGTTTTGGACTTCATGTGTCTAAAAAAGCGCTAATGTGTTAATCAGACAAAGTATTTATGATGAATTATCTTCAGATTCTCCTGTCTGTGCTTGTTTAAGTGGTCTTGATAGGGGAGTCTGGCGTAGGAAAGAGCAACCTTCTGTCTCGCTTCACTAAGAATGAGTTCAGTCACGAGAGTCGTACTACCATCGGCGTCGAGTTCAGCACGCGGAGTGTTCAGCTGGACAACTACACCATCAAAGCCCAAATCTGGGACACAGCTGGGCTGGAGCGCTACAGAGCTATCACCTCAGCGTGGGTACACACACACACACACACACACACATAAAGACATAATGAAGAGGTTACAATCCTCACATCAGTGTTTGCTCACACGTGCCGATTTTAAGTAACACTGATTGCATGCAATTAATAGTTGCACCTCCTTCACACACGCGGCCATTACCACACAGCTTCCAGTTTGATTAAGAAGATGCAACTCGTAACTGTTTGCTCTCTCTCACCTCTCTCAGGTATTATAGGGGAGCCGTTGGAGCGCTGTTGGTTTATGATATTAGCAAGCACCTGACTTACGAGAGCGCAGATCGATGGTTGAAAGAGCTCTTCGACCATGCAGACCCTCACATCGTGGTCATGCTGGTGGGAAACAAGAGAGACTTGGATACCCTCAGAACCGTGCCAACAGAGGAGGGCAAGGACTTTGCAGGTCGGTTAGGAACCGGTTATGTGACTGGGTTTTTATAAAAGCGTATCTGAAGGTTTCTTGTGATAATGGAGTGTATTTAATGCTCAGTAATGTCAATATTGTGCCTTGAATATGTCTGTGTTTGCTGATAGCGCTCTTTGCTTTCCTTGCTTCCCCCCCCTCGGACCAACCCAGAGAAGAGAGGTATCTTGTTCATGGAGACATCAGCGTTGGACTCCACCAATGTCGAAGTTGCTTTCAATAAAGTCCTCATAGGTATGTTCAGTCAGCGTGTCATCAATACGTCCTCTTTGAATGACTCACTGACGCAAAACCTGACATCATTGTTTCCAGCGATTCATAAGAAGGTGGCCAGCAGGGAGGTGACCCGCGGCTCCATTTGTGCCGTGACCCTCTCCAGCCCCATCGGACTCAAAGGCGAGGCACAGGGGGAGCGGAGAAACTGCTGCAAGAGCTCCTAACAGACTGCTCTGCCCGGTAAAGACCTGCTCTGCCCAAAGTGAAACCAACGTCACAATTGACTGTCGCTGAAACTTAAGCGTGACGTCATTCACATCCAATTTGAAGAGCGAGGTACCTGCTTAACACTTGAGCAGTCAATATGCAAACCTCTTTAAATATAAAAGCTCAAAAACAATAGATTAAGATCTGGATTTTGAGAAAATCTATATTTGATATGCTATATTTCTTGTGGTGGCTAATGGGTGTGTTTTACTAGAGGTAGATGTGCAATTTTTTTTAAAAGACGTAAAGTTGTATTGCTTTTACGAAGCAATGCACTGGGATTCACTTGGAATAAATTATTTACGGCATTCTGTCTGTGTGTGTAATTGCCACACAAAGTCATGACTTCATTATCTGCATTAGACACGTTATCTGAACTAGAGGAGGGAATAGGAGAGAGGGCTGATCTGACATAATGAGTGGTGGAAGAAGTAGTGAGATCCCCAATGTAAAACAACACTGTTATCAGTAAGTTACTTTAGTAAAAGTGCAGAAGTTTAATCAACAAAATATAGTCTGATAAGACTATTGTATATATTACAGGGATGTTATTATTGATGCATTAACATGTAAGCAGTGTTTAATGTTGAGGCTGATGAGGTGAAGCAAGCTTTAACTAATTTATATGCTGTTGGGTAGTTCAATCTCTAAAAATGCATAATATGCGTGTCTAAAATCTGGAACGACGACTAGAGATGTCAAATAAAATTGCTTTCCACCACTGGATAAAATATCTGGCAGTTGTAGACATGGGCCTGTTGGGGGTTGCTCATAGACATTGCTTCATATTATCATTGAAAAATAACTGAACACTAATCGAGTGCGTTGCAGGTTTGTCTCCCATCAGCCTGTAGATGTCAGTGCTGCTGCATGCTGCATTTACAGCATCAGCACTGTTTTGTGCAGTGCATTTGTTCGCTCGCTCATTTCCTTATTAACTCCAGCACGACTCGTACCGCCGTCTAATCCAACTGTTCGTTTCATTAATGACCATAATATTAAGCTCATGCGGCGCTGCAGTGTTGTCGCCATGGTAGCAATCTCTGATGCCCTCTCGACAAGCTAATCAGCCGTGCCCAAAACATTTATTCACAGATCGAATGGTTATATGTTGTACAGACTATGGGTGTAATTGGACAGGCTCATATGGCACGACTGAGAGAATACAAATCTACAGCAGTGGTAGTTGTTAATGACATTTTGGACAGATAGTGCTCTATCTCTGGCTCACAGATGTGCATAAGGGAGCTTTCAATGTGGTGTGTTTGTGTGTGTGACTGTGTCTCCAAGCAAGGCTTTTCTGCCTGAGGATCATTTTGCGAAAATGAAATGACCACAAATTCTTTTATTAAGTTTCTCCACTGTAACCATGATAGGGAAGGCTCTGCACCGGGCAATGAATTTTTAATTATTTCCTGTGAATGAGGGTATTTTAATGGGCTGAGTTAAAGCATCTGGTGTAATAATCCATGTAGGCCGAGCAGGCTGCACTTGTTGAAAGGTCACGATATCTGTAAATCTCCTTCCGTCCAGAGCCTGAAGGTAAAGGTTATCTTTGCAAAAGTAATGAAATAAAAAAAAAATGACATGCTCTTCTTTTATCTTTGTAAGCTACCACTTTACAGAATCTCGCAAATTGCCCCTGGATCTGTGTGTAGACCACTCTCTGACCTTGTTCTAAAGTGGTCGGAAAGACTTAGATTTAACACATGCATGTGGTGGCTATTACCCACATGCTACTTGACATGTGTAGCTTGTAAAAAAAAAGTCTTTGAAACCAAGTCTCGTATATGCTAAAGGGTGAGTGGTTTGGCAACTCTGACCCCAACATGGAGCTTTCTATCTCCCTTTTACGACACCTCCTCCAGCGCTTTGTGGGGAATCTTGTCCCCCTAGAATTTACTGCTGCAATATCACATCTGTATGTGACCTTTGTGTTCTTATGACCTTTCACCCGAGGAACATGGATCTTTTTAAAACCCATACTTTCCATCCATTATTTCGGTTGCCTTGCTATTTCTCTTCCCCTCTCCCATTCCTCATTTCCCAGACACCTAACTTTTTTTTCTACTTATTTTCAACTGGCTTTACAGAGCTGTTTTCCTGCTGTCTATTTCTGCTTCCATCGTCTGTTTACATGTGATAATCAGAGACTGACATAAGACCCCGGGAACATTTATTCATATACACATAAGATCTCTATTTTGTAGTATTTTTGCACATCGCTGCTGTCCCGTGAAAAACTTGTACCTCCATAATGTCAACTTTTCATAAACTAACAAAAATAGCAGTTTGCAGCTTTGTGATGATGCATTTTTTTCCTATTAATTCAACAGATGGTTTATTTTAGGATGTAGAAATATCTTCTCAACCCATAATCCCAACCAAATTTGGAGATACGGGGTATTCATTTGACAGTAATAATATCATAATGTTAAAGTACAGATGTCTTGGGCATATCCTTGTCATCAAGAGCGAGATCTATGGTTCGTTACCATTGTGTCACATTGGCTGATGTGCCATGTGTGCATGTATATATATATATAATTGTGTCTGTATGTGCGCGCACACCTCCACATGTGCACACAAACACGAAAACAAGACCAAAGTTTAAACACAAGTGTGCGACAAGCCGACATTCCTCCGTCCTCCTGCATCTTTCAGCGCAACTCAGCTGAGAACATCAATTCATGGTTTCTCTGTCATCTGACATCATCACATAAATAGAATCACACTCAATGCACGCCGATTACCATGGTGATGTTGTTATGGCGACCGATCAAAGGGAGAGGTGAGCTGATGGGTGTCTGTATATTCAGAGTCTTTACTCATTTAAAAATGTGCAGTCGAGAGAGAGAGAGAGCTGAGATGTGAATTGTGGCCTGAAGGTGATTGCAGAGAAAATGTTAAGTGTGTTATTTGGTCCAACTTGAAGCTTGTTATGAAATTAAAAACAGTTTCCATAACTTACTGTGTACATTTGTGTGCTCTCTTGTGTCTTAATTTCTCTTGCGCTTGGCCGTCTGTATTCAAGGCCCAGCTGATGGGGTCACGGGATTCCTGTCCGGCGTACGATTAAACAGGTTGCCAGCGACAAACGGAACCGAGAGACCTCGGCACCGGTTCACTTACCATAATATCGCATACCTCAGTTGTCATGACAGCCTCTGCGTTTGGCTGAGAGTCTGTGGTGCGAAACTGCTGCAGGTGTAAACTGATGCAGTGAACTATTATTTGAAGCTGAAACCCGAGACCAGAAACGGTGTGAAATTGGATTGTCTTTAACGTATTACCTCTGGTGTCACAGGTGAGCGTTCTGCTGAGTGTGCATTTGAGTGATGACATCTGGAGAGTAGGAGCCAGATCACGTGTTAGTCCGTGAATGGCAACCTCTTCAGTCACATTAGCGTAATGAAGTCATTTATCCACAGTCACAACACTTGACTTTTGCGTGGTTTCACAAAGCTGCACTGACCACAAATTCCACTGACCCAGACATTTCTGACAGCAGTCCAACATTTTTACCCGCAGACACCTGGCTAAACCTAGAATATGAAACCCTGAGCTTCCAAATGTGCCTCTGAGAGAAACTTTTCAGCTTCTCCTTCCAAGGGAGGGGGGAGAAAGGCTATAATACCACCCAGCCCCTAATATGTGTTCTGCTCATTCTCAGAGGAACACACGTCTGGCAACACAGTAAGTGACAAAAGGGCCGTTAAATTGAGTTTATGAGTAGATATTTCCATGCGTGTATTTTTCTCCTCCTCAGCTTTTGTTCCATGTGGCTACTGTCCAGATGACATGGCTCAGCCAGGAGCATGAAGATGGATGGGACCTTTCCGATATATTGATTCATATTTTATGTCACTTTAGGGTTTGTCTTGCATGTTGTTCTGATGAGGGCTGCACTGTCTAATCAGAAATATGTGCCCGATTTAAGCGCATCACTAATTCAAATGTTTCTTAGTTCAAGCACACCGAGACTGTGTGTGTGTGTGTGTGTGTGTGTGTGTGTGTGTGTGTGTGTGTGTGTGTGTGTGTGTGTGTGTGTGTGTGTGGTGCGTGCATTTTCAGAACAGTTGTTGAATTGACGGCCTTCCAGAGCTAAATCTCCCTGGAGTTGCAGATTGTGGGAAAACACATGTTGCTGTTCACTTTCCTGACACGGGGGGGGGGGGGGGAAACATGCCTGGGCTTAGGGAATATGAAAGTTATACCAAGGTCTCTGCCAAGAGATACAGTACATCTAAACTCTCTACGGATGTGTTTGTGTGTGTGTTTGAGCAACACAAAAAGACGGATATGAACATACTATAGTCCTTGCATGCAGTGTGAGTGAGTGCATGCATATGCAAAAGCCTGGATAGAAGCGTTGACAGCCTGTGATGTTTTTTGCTGGACTGTGTTGGTATGTGTTGTGTGTAGTTTCCTCCCAGTGAAAGCTCTGGGATGCATCTAAAAATACCACGGGCCCGAGAGGAAAGCGAGGATGGGAAGGCATTTACAGAAGAAGAACACGGGGCTCCTTCCACTCCCACCTGCAGCCGGGAGTCACCCTGTGGCCAGGAGGAGAAGGATTTCCCCTCATTCTTTCAAGCATGAAGGTTTGTTTTTGATATTACCTGAAAAAAACTGCCTGAAGTTTCTTTGTTAAAGATAAGAAAACCCTCTCTCTGATTTGTGGTGTTATATTGAGTTATACACTGTATTAAACCCAAATGTGCCTCTTGCTCTGTTGGCGTTTGAGGGTTTGCAATACTCCAGGGTGGTACTGTACACTCATTAAGGTAGTTTCCGTCTGTTTACAGAGTTAAAAACAGATTTCTGGAGATGTGGAGCAGACTTGAACCCGAATCGTGAAGAGATGAGGCGGAGGAAGAGGAGGAGGAGGAGGGGCGGGTAGTCAGGAGGAGGAGGGAATCCAGATGGGAAGGAGCAGCATCGGCGCCGCAGGAGAGAGATAGAGAGGGAAGACAGGCTGTGGAGGAGAAGACGCAAATCTTTATCTCTGCATGGAGATGAAAAACACCTTTATCTTACACTGAGCAAACGGATTTCACTTGGAGCTGCCATGTATTTTGGTATGTAAACGATGCGTTTTAATCTCAAAAGAGTATTTTTTTTGTTGTTATAAACGCAGCGGAGTCACTTGTTGCTATGTTGAGATGGATGTGAGCTGCAAGTCAGTCACAGTGAAATAGAGGCTGCGATAGGGCAGCCTATTCAACACATCTCTTACAATTGAGCTTGTTTTGGTTTTATTGCGCTTGGCTCTTAATGCCCATACTGTACTGATTGCCTTACACTATACAATTATTACAGGATCATAAACTATGACAAATCACTGGACACAGTAAAACAAATTATTATTGCTTTAGATTATTACATGCAAGTTATGGAATTATATTTAATGATGATGAATCGCTTTTTTAGGCTTTAAAAAGTATCGAAACATTCTAAGTGTGTGTGTGTGTGCGTGTGTGTGTGTGTGTGCGCGCGCGCGCGCGCGTATGTGCCGCCTCGTCCACGTGTCTCTTGTATCATAAATTCTTTAAAGTATCCAAAACGACATTAACGTGCGAAGAGGGGGGGCAGCTGCAGCCTTCCATCTGGCCAAAGTGAAAGAGTGGAAATGCTATTTTACACTTTAAATTAAATCTCTGATGAAAACAATGTAATTGTTTCATTTGGGAGGAGAGGGGCGGTGGAGCGGGTGTCATGCCAAGCGTGACCATGTTTCTCGCTGTCTGCCGCCGCACGTTGTGTGAGTCTCGTTCACAAACAAAAAAGGTGAACATTTTTTTCAAATAAATCGTTTCCGGATTGTGAGCAATTCATTATGCACGAACAATAATAAAATGTAACTGAATTGTTTTTTAATTCCACAAAAACATTTAGATTGAGTTTTCAATCGACTTTCATTTGATATATATGGCACCATGGTAACAGCTGACTGCGCTGTGTGGCTCATTGTGATGACTAACACGTCGCGCGCTGTTACGCACAGAAAACACGATGACCACGGATCCTTATGTCCAGAAGAGTGAATTGATCTTAAAATACTCAGAACCTCTTGGCAGTATTTATGTAAGACTGCGAAGGTCCCTGACAACAATACGACTTCTATTATTAATAACACGAATGGATCATATGTGTATCCTACTGTTGGCTCTATTATTTCATCGCAAAGTTCTCTAATATGCGCGTGCATAAGCCCCTCCCCTCCTTACCAAATTCACCTTCCCACGCACATGCTGAAGACACAGCGGCACACACTTTTAGTAATGGTCTCATTGAACCAGAAGTGTGTAAGAACACATTTGGTACCACGAGTCGACCTGACAGCCTGAACATCCTGAAGGAAGCTCACAGAACATAGAATGGCTATCAGAGAGTTATGTATTGTTTAATTACTACTGGTGGATTAATGTGTTCGCAGACACTTACATAATCTATAACAATCAGATTTCATGTTTTGTGTGTAAAATATATATTTTTATCATATAAACATGTACACACATACAGACAAACCAAACTCGTACATACATTACTTCGCATTTTATAAAATAATCTTAATCTGCAAAGAATATTGCACTCTCAAATGTAGTGAAGTAGAGATCACGAATAAGACACAATGGGAGTACTCATGTACAACTACCTCAGAACTGTGCTTTTTTTTTTTTTTTATACAGTGTTTAGTCAATGTATGTAGACCTTACCTGCCACCTGAGTTCCACATTTTACTTCACTGTAGGTGAGTAGGTGTTTCAAATCGACATAAACCATAAAACAAAGTGATATTTGATCTGAGTGCATCTTATTTTAATAACTGCCAATAAGGATGAGTAAAACTTAAATAAGACAGAGGCACAGTCAGAGTGGCAATAGGCAAAAGAATGTTTTATTATATTTATGACCCTACATTTTGTTCATTTAATTGTATGTTTATGGGTAAGAAAGCACATTAATCAACATTGGCATTTAACAATATTAATACAAATGAGCCTTGGTTAGTGCTCCTGCCACAACTAAAAACTGACCAGCATCAAACATAGTAACGTTGCAATGAAAATAAGAGAGAAAAAAACTGAAGGAAACGTATCACAACACTGTGTTCGGAAAATCTTACACAGTCAGACAAGTTTATAAGCACAGCAACTTTGAGCACAGAATGTCTTCATATACCGTATAGCTTCTATGTATTTGCTATCATCATCACCATATTACTATTTCTAAAGAGAATCACCTCATCTCTATTGAGTCATTTCTCCATATCTACCTGTCTCCTCTCTAGGTAATGTGTGTCACAGGGCTCTGCTGGCCCGCCCCACGCTGGGGAGGACCCATCCCTCCCCAGACCCGAAGCCCCTCGTCCCCTTCCATCTGCTTCCTGGATTCACCGACGTGAGTACTTTCAGTCACCGTAGCTGTCACGGCAACCACGATCTCACCAACTGTGCCTTTTAAAGAAAATCAGAAATCGTTCACTTCACCACGCCGATTTCTGCTGCAAGTGTTTATAACAGTCTGCCTGCATGGAGTTTATTTTTTCAATACACAGATGCATGAGCGAGCGGCCTATACACGCTTTCCAAATATATCACTTCTGATGCAGACAGCTGTGGCATTTCCACACCAACTGGAGGGTGGAGCTGATTCCTTGATATTCCTCACACAGCTTTTCTTAGAGCTGTCTGTTCCGGTGCTTGTGAAGGTGGAGAGAAACAAAGCTGGCCAAGTCCAAGCCCAGAAGAGAGTTGATGTGTCAGGCAGGGTTGATGTCTGGATCACAGGGGGATCGTACTGTATGCCTCCATATACTCCTGGCTTCACGATGTATGAAGTCATTTTTTTCTGGCCTAAATCAATGCAGTAAAAGTAATGTAGCTTGACTCCATCGCTGCTACGTATTTATTTGTA